TGACCACTTGGTCGACCTAGCTTTAATACCATGTTATTAACTAGTTGATCCAAATAACTCCTCTTATAGCAAATTATTGAAAGGGAATGAATTATTATGAAGTTTATGTCACACTCTCTAACAAACAAATCCTAAAACTTCCTACATCATATCGGAACTAGGGAGTCGACTCGTCTCATAAATCATTCTGACAATATAATGAAGGCGATTATTGTCATTGCTTGCAGAATTATAAATCCGGCGTAGCTTACTGCTCCGCCGGCGAGCAGGGCAGCTCCCCTTTATGGCGATGTGCGTGTCGGTGGCAAGGGTGCTCCCCTGCTCACCGCCGGCCCTGCCTTTGGACCAGAACACCTGCAGGACAGGACCTTTGACCTGCAGGGTCATGATAATCGCTCTTCCGAACGTCACAATCGTTCCCGTCACTTTGGCAAGGGTGCGGACGTTGGTCCGAACCTTCTCGAGTGTGAAATTCCTGAATGGGTTTAGGGTTTGTAGGGTTTTGAGGGAAGAAGAAGACGAGCTGAGAAGGAGGAGATAAGGTTGAGAAAAGGGATATTGAAGAGAAGGCTCAATGCCAGCTCTGGGACACAGTGGTCCTTGTATATATACAACGGTTACATTTAACCTCTTTACAAAACCACCAGTCACGACATGACAAGTGGCTAAGACCACTGTTAAACAATAACGAATAAAGCTTAACAAAAACGACTACGTATCCTATAGCTGTACAACTAAAGTCAACTCACAAGGTTGAAGTTTGCGCAAGGCCACCATACATTTTCCTCCGATGAACTGTTAATATTTAGGGTCTTGGAGATTCAACACATGACCACTTGGTCGACCTAGCTCTAATACCATGTTAATAACTAGTTGATCCAAATAACTCCTCTTATAGCAAATTATTGAAAGGGAATGAATTATTATGAATTAGTTTATGTCAGTCTCTCTAACAAACAAATCCTAAAACTTCCTACATCATATCGGAACTAGGGAGTCGACTCATCTCATAAATCATTCTGACAATATAATGAAGGCGATTATGCAATAATCACAAATCTCATATTTGCTCTTCAGTAATTTAAAAAGGCTGCCGCCTGAACTGCTCCACCCACAGGCCACAGCGAGAAGGGGGGAACCCTAATCAACCTCATTAATTAAATCAAATACGCGTTAACTTAGGACTTGATTATCTGAACCTCGTAACGTTTGTCTCCCAACATAATCATAACAATAGCACAAAAAGGAAACTGAGAGCGACAGTTTAATTAATTAAACCCACGGCATTACGCTAATTCTGCCGTTGACCATGGTGGACGACGATTAGAATTTTATACTTGAAGTGAGGGGAGACAAGTTACACCATGTTGGATGGTGTGTACTCCCGCAATCTCTTAAATGAATTTTGTGACGGTCAATAATATACATAATAATTATAAACTACGTGCTTATAGCGTCTATATCGATCAAACACTTATCAGAACGCAAGAACTGTAGCATGTTGTCATATACTATCTCCTCGAAAGCATATGAAGAGTTGGGTGAGAACATCTTCGTTCCGGGGAAAAACGCCTAGACCCAGTTTTATTGTACTGTACATACCCATGTGACTTATCCTCACATGCAATGAGTAGTATATGTTAACCATTTTATATCATTAATCACTCATTATAGTGCATAAAAGACCCTACAAGGCACATAAGACTCCACCAACAACTGGAAATCGTACATCATCAGAATTCAGATACAACGATGTAAGCACGTAGCCAAACTCGTAAGAAGACAAGAATTAATCTACCCAAAGCACCAAGCCCAACATAACTAATACAAAATACAACTTCTTTAGCTAGTGCATCAACCCTGAAATCATCCTCTACCAAATAACACCACCACACATGAAATAATCATTCACATGTATATATACAACCACCCTCCCAACCAAATCATGATTCATGATTCCCTGTTTTTCCACGGACCAAGTAGAAGTCGACAACTATGGCAATAAGAAATCATGGTACGGCCCAATGTAACACCATTATTACAACATGAGCAGCTACTATAGCAAAGCTGGCGCCGATGTGTACATGTATATTATCCGAATCATCATTCTGTTTGATTATTATTATTACCCTGGTGATGACACGTACTTCGACACGTCCACGTCCTGTCCACTCCACGTCATCATGGCGAGCAAGCCAAGAATTCATTGATGGAGAGATGAAAATCGTAGTGTGGGCTTTCTTGTTCTTTGGTCATCATGTCGTTTTATGTACTCTCTCGATCGCCATGATCATTTTGGTCAACCCTTCACTTCCAAGCAACTACTCCATTAGACCATTACCCTCCTCTCATGTCGTTTTCCTATGTGCGTTTTAGGTCCACCTGGCTCTTTGTGGCTCTAGTTTGATAGTCAAACCCCAATAATAGAAGGCACTAGCTAGCTAGAGACTTGACACCCAAGTACTCGATCTATCCATTTCTATGTTGCTCGATCGCTCTTCGGTCATTATCTCCATGAAATTGTTCTTGAAATTAAATTGTTCATGAAATTAAAGGAAGATGGAAAAAAGAAAACCAAGGTAAAGAAACTAGGACGAATGTGCTAACTATGGATATGATACGGGAAATAGACCGATTTTATATAAGCCTTCAATTTGAATTAGCAAAAGCAATATCTCCTTGCATAATATGTATTCCAAACATTCATGATCTGGATCGTTTGTGTTGCGCCTTCCTTCTGGACTGGACATGTCTTAACTCTTAGCTGTAAGAAGTATGGTTGTGAAAGTGACTTCGGTTCGCCCGGATTGAATTTGTCCTCAATACGGGTGTCAACATAGTACCACTTTTTACTTACTCCGTGTTAGATAGCCTGATCGTAGTGATGTTAATCATGACTAATTACATTCATAAATGTGATTGGCAACAGAAAGATATATAACATAGTGACAAGAAGATGATTAAAATGGGTGCACGATGCACTGATCTTAGTATATATATGCTGTATGCATATCTATGATCGTTCTATATTCCATTTTAAGATGCACTAAAATTACTATATGATTGTTCTCTTCCATTTCAAAGTTTCTCGACCAATCAATAGATTGGATTGGCTGCACTGCATAGTAGCTCAAGTCGTGTGAGAGCCCAACACATGAACGAATGGCTGCTCACCAATGTGCCTAATCAAATCTTCATTCGAACGTAAACAAGCCCGTGATGAAAGGGTTGTAACATGATTGCCCTAATAGTGAGACATGGTCGAATGGCAGAACATTGCCGAATAAGGGTGGAATCCGTGGAATGGAACCCTAAATTTGTGCCTTGAAAGCCTTCCAATTAGGAACAGTGGTGCCGCACTGACCAAAATGATGGATGGTCGTGGTGGAGGAATATAATGGAGGTCATGAGACTTTTTTTTAGAGGGGGAGGACGATGGGACGTTTTGGCTACAACTTGCAAAATGTGACCCACCAATCGTGCATGTTTGCATGCTTGTTTATAGGAAAAGAAATTGGCCCCGTGTTAAGTCGTTTTAACTTTTTATTAATCATAACTTCTAATACAAACTTGGTTAGGATAATTTTGTGCATTACCAAGATAAAGGGGAGAAAATGTAATCGTGATAGTACTCTAACAGAATTCGGATGTATCTTGTGTTACAAGTCTGTCTGTGACCATCAAAACATTTTTCTTGATCGAAATCGAAAAACATGCTATATCAAAGACCCGCGTTTTTTCATCGATCAAAGTTTGTTCTGAACTCTGGTGTCGGCACTACTATCCACTTGATGACCATGGAAATAATGTCGGGTTATAATTATTCATCGACTTGATGCAGCTAGAATGAATGAAACAACCATTTTTTTTTAAAAGTAATTCGATTTAATCAGGAAGCTATAATTAATCAATAGTGTCGTGAATTCGATAATTGAAATTGTTTGAAAGAGTTCACAACAAGATCTTAATCTTTCCCTTTACAAATACTACTAGTACAGGCAAAGTGTGTTGTTAAAGCCAGTTACTGGATTGTTCTTGCATGCAAAATTGTCATTGTCACCACCACCCCTAAACAAGAACTAGACAAGAAGAAAGAATTTGAAGCTGGCGTTGGCTTTGCCAATTGGAAATCTACGCAAATTATCTCTTTAAAAGAACAAGTTACAAGTTTACTGTTTGGTAGAGTCACATCCAAACACTGTGACTTGGTTTGCTTTTTTGCCTCTTGTTCTCCTTTCTGATTGGCCCTTCTTCTGAGTTCTGACATGCATAGGTGGCTCTCTTTTGTAATTAACCATTAACCAAGACTTTACTGAGGACTAAAAATGCAATTATGTTTTATTTCTTTATTCCTTTCCTCTCTCCTGCACTTATTCTCATCCATTCATTTTCACCACTCCCGTAACTCCTCCCCCTCCATCAATCTTCATCCCTCCCTCTCTCTCTCTCTTTCATTAATCTTATGTTTAATGATTTCTTTTTATGTACCTAAATTCATGTGTACTCAATTTAATTCGATCCGGTTTCGGTGTTGCCGAATTTTTGGTCGGCAACATATTTTACCAACTTTTGTAAATGACGAATTGGGTTGTCTGTCGCTTTTGTTAAAAACTATATTCAACCTGATTCGACCCAGTCCCGATGTTGCCAGATTTTGGTTGGGAACGAATTTTACCCGCTTTTGCTGAGTCGGGTGTACTCAATCTAATTCGATCCGGTTTCGGTGCTGCCGACTTTTTTATCGGCAACAGATTTTACCAACTTTTGTAAGTAACGAATTGAGTTGTGTGTCGCTTTTGTTAAAAGCTATATTCAATCTAATTCGACCCGGTCTCGGTGTTGCCGAATTTTGGGTCGGGAACGAATTTTACCCGCTTTTGTTGGGTCGGGTGTGGATCTCTTTAAAAGAACAAACTACATGTTACTGTTTGGTAGAGTCACATCACACAAGTGCCTATTTCGAAATTGAAAGAAACTTTGGGAACTTGTTTGGAAATTTTACAGATATTTTTTTTGCTTTTCCCTCCCATCTCTCTTCCCAGCCACACAACTTTTCTTCTCTCTTTCTCTTCCTTCTACAGAAACCAACAACCCACTTGTTTCTTTCTCCCTCTCTCTGTACAAGAACAAAAAAAAAAGGAAGAATATGAAGAAGAAGAAGAAGACGCAGGAAGCAGAAGAACCAGGAGAAGAAGGAACCCCCACCCCACCCCACCTCACTTGTGCTCTTCCTTCTCTCTTCTCTCCGACGTCGTCTCTTTCGCGCTCTGCGATCTCAAATCTCCGAAATCGCCCATGAAGCGGCAAACTTGCCAATGAAGGAGAGTCATTCGACGCCTGGTTGGCTAGATCGTGAGTTTTCTTATGTTTTTAGTGTTCTTAACGCCGCCGATCTTATTTCTCCGAATCTGTTCGTTTATTTTTTCTGTTTTTCTTTGTTCTCTTACTTGGTTAGAACGTCCTTTTGGATCGATGAAGAGAAGGGAAGGCGTGAACGACGATGAAGGTTGGCAATGGACGTCGGTGATGGTCCCAGCAACGAGTGACAATCATTTTTTTTTTTTTTGCATATTGTCATTCTTGGATTTTTTGTTTGGTTTTAATTCTTACTTCTTGTCATCTTTTGTTCCTGGGTTTTTGATCAGGAAGAAGGAAGTGATTCGTCTACACTCATGCCAGAAGGAACATGTCATGCCGCCGGCGGTGGGACTGCTGTCAACCGCGACCAAGGCGGTAAGTTGTTTTTGTGGAATTATTTTCTTCTCTCTATTCCCATTGGAGTTTAGTCACGCCTTTTTTGGTTTCTCTGGCTAGGGTTTGTATGATCAGGAACAAATCAATCTGGGTTAAGTAAGTCTGGATTCCATCCGACTCCCGGCCATCCTGCCCCTTTCTGTACAGGCTCCTTCGATATGCAAAGATGGACGTTGCATCACAGCGCTCAAAAAACCCGTAACATTGCCCATTGGTTAGTGCCAACTGCAGATTCCCATGTTTTTTTTATTATCTCTAGAGCTATCTATCTGGTTTCATTTCTGTTTATGTCATTTAACTTTTTCTGCTGAGTTTAGCCCTTTTTTTTTGTTGTTCGGTTAGATAATTTATCTTTTTACTCTGGTGTTTGTTTCCGTCCAGCCATGTGATATGGGATGGGTTAGGAGGAACGCAAATAAGGAGTTGTTTGCTGTTGAATTGGATTTGCCCCATTGAATAAGCACATCTTCCCTGTTCATATATGCAAGCAAGGTAAGACTTAGGTCTTCTTTGTTTCATTGTTTCCATCTTTTTTAATGATATGGAATTGGTTGGTGGGTGTTGTGGTATCTCAGGAACATAAATCGTTTGTATGGCAGGTTGTGGATATGCAATGTTAAGGAACTTGCTTATGTCTTGGACGAAAAGGGTTGATTTCCTTCCATTCGAGACTGGTTGCTGGTTTCTTATACGAAATTGTGCTGCCCTGAATTCGAAGATTATGAGAACTGGGGCCAGTACATTGGAGTTTTCCTTACGTGGTGGCTATGTGGTGTTACTTTCGGTTTCAGGTAACTTCTCGCTATCATCTGTTATAGATTCAGTAATTGATGCCGTTGAACTCCCTTAACCAATGCACATGCAATGGAAAGATTCACTGCCATCCCAGAGCAGCGTTTGTGAAAAGATATATTTCAGAAGTATGCTTGCTGCATTAGCTATGGGGATGATGGGTCAAACTAATTTTGTGAATTTATATAGTTCTACTCTTACTTTTCAGGTTTCTTATGTTCTGGTCCAGTTACAAAACTAAGCTACTTCAGAGTTTTGCCGGTTTCCTACTGTCATTCTGCGTAATGGCGAATTTCAGCGGCATCCCATTTTGGTAATCGATTGCTTTCCAGTTGAAGTGCCTTAGCTATTTACGCTTTCAAATTTAATCTTTTGAAGGAAACATGCTATTTTGCCTGACACAGTTCCATTTGATTTGCCCAGCTACGCTCTTGGACCATATAAAGTACTTGCTGCATGAGATTAAACTTTGGAAAGGGAGAGGTTAGGTTGAATATCTTTTGCCATTACCTCTATTTTTTACCCCTTCTTTTATAATTAAGAACAAAAAATGTTAGTTTCCTGCTCCTCTTTACCATGAAGTTAGCTGAATGAGTTCTGAAATTTGGTTTGTTAGAATTCAGATTCAGATGCAATTTCCTCCCTACTCTTACTCTAATTGAAGTTAGTTGAATGCCTCAGAAACCAATACTTAGATATTTGACAGAATACGATGTTATTTTCCCTGCTAATCAATGAGTTGTTTTTATCTCAAGCTATATTCCTACCAGGTCAACGACAGCTTAATATGAGCACCAAGTAATTGTGCTCTCTGTTGCTTTCAAACACAGTTGATTTGAATGCCACTGATTTATATTAGGTGCTCAACTTAATCTTCTTTTAATATCTTAAATAATCTTTCCCGGTGGGTGGTTTTTTTTAATGTAAATTTAGTGTTTGATTACAACTTACACATTCTCAAATGTTTACCGACAAACAATTATGCATGTATTATGTACCATTTAAAACAACAGTGGAGTGGACGTTGCCTTCTCAAATCTTGCCAACCATGGCTGTGATCATTGTACAATGTGGTTCCACTTAGAATGCAGCCATAGTCTACCTCAGACATCACTAGCCAATTTAAATTTTTTTGTTTTGTACTTTTGTTGTATGGCCTTATGAAACTCAGATTGTTCTCTGTTTCAAGGAACAATGGATTTATTATAACCTAAAAGGAAATACAGCGGGAGCAGCAACTACTATGACAGATGGAAAGTCCCTCCTTTGATCCAAGCCCTCATTTGCCGGGAAGTCCAATTTACTATCCACCAACCAATGACTTTTGACATATCTATGGTATTCTCCTGTCTCTCTTCTTTCAAATTTCAGTCATGCTTTTCCTCTATGAGTATAGCACTTGATTACGAATTCAGTTAACTTCTTTTGTGATTTCGTAACTCTAAAGGTGGTTAGTTGAATAACCATTACTTTATTTTTTTAGTTGTTCTTACTGAACTTGGGAACATCATTAACCATACAATACTGACCAGGATACTGTATCGAACCTGCCTTGATTATTTTGCGTCGGTCGTATGTTTGTTAGTACTGAATGACATGGATATGAAGCAAGTATTTCAATCGCGGAGGTCGTAGTTAGTTGTAGAGCTGAAACGCCGAGAAGGTTGGGGTTTAGTTTTTGTGGTTGTGATATATGGGTCCAAATATATCCGATTTAGATGTATTTGGTGGGTTTGAACAACAGAAACTGAATCGTAATGGGAGCGGTGCATACTTCATTACTAAAGTCATTATTTTAACGGATCATATGAAAGGAGTTCTACAGGTTCTCGCTTCTTCTGAATGCACTCAATAGTTAGCTAACCCACTATGTTAAATGTATGAAGCCTCTTCTTTAGATTTATGTTTCAATTAGCGGGCAGATGCATGCTACTTTGTTGACAAAATCCTATTTTTTTTACTTACAATTTTACAAACAGAAGCTTGGTCAACAGTGCTTGATGGACAATAACACATGTGGTGCTGCGAAGAACCCAAACCAATGTAAAACAACTATCTTGGAGATTGACCTCAAATATCCCCTGGTTCTAACTTTAGTTGGGGTTGCACTGTGGCTTTGGTAATCAATTCGGAAGTCTAATTGATATTTCTCTCTTTTGCTAAACTGCTGGTCCAGCTGGCTGCAGAGTTATAGGTTTTATTCTGTTGGCTCGAGGGGCAATGATAGTGACGAACTGTGACCGACTCTTTGGGAAGTTCAGGGATAACTCTACTCTCTCTTTAGAACTTTAACGAAGAAGAAGAACGCAGCGGCGCCTTAAGTCACCGCAGGTGAGAAGCCCCTTACTTCTAGTCTCTGTTTGTTTGATTACTTTCAGTGAGGAAACCACAAAATACAAATTAATGCTTGGGAGTCTTGGAGCTTGTTTGCTTTGTTTGTTTCCAATTGATTGGATTATATATACAGATTAATATTACAGCTTTATGTGAGATTCCAAATCAAGCAATATGCATCAATGTAGTTTAGATTGCTTTTAGTTTGTTCTTCTTTGCAATTCTGAAGCCCTCATATTTTTAGCTTCCTATAAGTTTGTTTCCTAATTGGAACTATATATTTTTTAAAAAATTTGCCTTCATGTTCACACCATAGCTCGGTGTCATAAAGAACAGCTGAACACCATTTTCTGGCTTATGGTGTGGTGTCAATTATGACTACTGCTGAAACATCTCTTTTATGAGCAGCCTCAGTGAAATTGATCGTCACGCTTTGGGAAGCAAGCCAAGGATGAATTGTTGACGGGACTGATTACCCGATTCTTTGTATGCCTCTTTCTATCTGATCTGAGGTTTTGGGGTCCGTTATATACATGGCTCTTATTTTGAGTTTGTAGTTTCCACCGATATCAGCTTATCACTCCTTCAATGAAGTTTTAAGGATGGTAGTATGGGTCATTTAAATATTGTAATCAAGGTCGATTTATATACATGAATTGACTGCTGACTGTATGTCCTAGATTTGTCAACCTCTTCTTCGAGTTGCTTTGGTACATTAATGAAACCCAAGTTTTGCATAAAGTTTCGGGTCATTTCCCAAACATGTAGGGTAGAAACCTTCTTAGTCAACAGGGCCTGGCAAAACTAGGTTCATGTATGTACTTTTCATAAAGTACCTTGGTTTAAAAGTTTTTGGCATTTTCTATTAGTTACCCTCTTAATAGTGATGAAGTGGCGCCTTATCAGATATACGAGTTGCCCTCCTGCTGCATGCTCAATTATCTTAGCCATTTTTTTGAGCTAAAATACATTTGTTGTGCCTTTCCGGTCGTAGATGGGTCAGATTGTTTTACTATAAGGCCTTGCTCACTTGGTGGCGCTAACGACGGAGAAGATCTCTATAACGTCATGAGAAGGTTCAGGTTTTAACATTCCACTTCCTCGGCGAGACTCTTATTCAATGTCACTTACTGGTATGATCCCACCTATGCATTTATGTTCTCTCTCCTTTGTCTTTTGTTCACAGTTGATTTGATCGTTGTTCGAGTATGCTCAGAACTTTTCCTTCTTTCCATGAATCTGGGTGTGTTTTAGCCATACCTTCTCCTCTCTTTATGTTTCCCATATTTTGCCTTTCTTTTGTGATTCGTTTAGTCTTTCTTGGGGTTTCCTTTGACGGGTATTGCCCCCTTCCACGAATCTAGGTTTTGTATATAATAACCTGTTTATGTTCTCGATCATCTTAATTATTCCTTCCTCTTAAATGGTAAGTTAGGTTAGCTTCACCGTCTCCTGTTATTGATATGAATTCAATTTTGTGATGCTATCTAGAAAATAAGGAATTTTTAGTTGCTGCCCTGTGCACTAATTTATATTTAGGTGTATTTTATCAGTGATTTCTGAATGGAGACTGATGTAAAAGGCGGGAGGCAGTGATAAGGACGAGCCGCAACCAGTTCATACTGAGAGGAGACATATGAACTGCTCATGTCATATTTCAGGTTAGAAAGTAGTTTCAGTTTATGTATTATTTAATTTTACAAATTGTTTCCTTCGGTAGTTTCAGCGCCATTATAGCCATTGTTTAGCCTGTAATTTTGAACATTGACGTTGTGAGTGCTGCCTTTTAGTTAACTTCGATTGTTAAAGAAATAATTTCCTTTGCTTTTCATTTAATTTCATACTCTAATTGTATCATTTGTACATAGGCGAACCATGCTAGAGTTTCTCAGGAAATACATGCAATGGAAGATCCTGAATTTGAGACTTTCTACACCAAAAATATTCTCGCTGATGAGGTCGGTGCAAGGAACGAAGTCACTGGTGGAATTCAGACTGCCAACGAGGAGGGATGCTCACGACCAATTCAATGGCGATGGTTGGCTGGAAGGAAGAAGAATCCATCCGAGAAGGAGGAAGGAGGTAGGGAGAAGAACTTACTGGGGCGAATATGAAAGTGTGGCAAGCGTTGTTATTATTTTATTTTATGTTTTAGGGATTTTAAGAATTCTGATATGTTTATTGCTTTTGGTGGAATAAAGGGAGAAGGGTCCCCGTTGGCAATCTTGGCAGGAAGAAGAATCCACCCGAGAAGGAGGAAGGAGGTGGGTAAAAGAAGGTACACGGTAAATCTGAAAGTCTGGTAAGTGTTTTTTTTTTGTTTATTTGACTCTATGTTTGGGGAGTTTAAGGGTTCTTATATGTTTATTGATTTTGGTGGAAGAAAGGATCTGCCACAGCAATCCCAGATTCGTTTGGGCGAGAGAAATCGGAGGATACACAGAACCGCAAGGTGGGTTTCTTATGTTTTTTTTCTAGACAGATTCGTTCTCCATCACTCTCAACCTATGCATTATTAGAAGATACCGGCACCGAGTTCATAAGCCCCGGAGATGGTCATCAATTCCAGCGAAAAGCTACCAATCTGAAGATCTGTGGTTTGGGTTATAAATCCATGTTGAAGAGGATCCATTGTGGAGAACGAGATTGGCGACGGAAGGAAACCAGATTTGCTTGTCCTGACATTTGAAGGTGATAAGTCGATATTGATGGTTTTGGTTCATCTCTCACATTTGTTATGATTAGATGCATATTCTTAACTATGTTCTCTGGTTTCTGTTGCCCAAACGGTTCCGCACGAAGAAGTCTCGGTTGTGAGGATCCCTCTCCGACGAAGCAAAATCCGAAGATGGTGTGTGGGCGATTCTCAAGCCAGAGCATGCTGATTCTCTTGCCCTTTGAGTTGATGGGATTTTCTGAGAGCTGAGTTGATCGTGGAATCTCAGCGAAATGCTGCTGGACCATTAGATGAATGCTTTGCGAAACCTTCCTCCCGTCGTCGTGAACTCAGGTCTCTCTCTCCCCCACCCTCCTTCTCCTTCCCCTGCCATTTTTTCCCTTTTTTCCTGCGGTTACTGAATGGCAATTCCTTGGCTTTTTCCTCCCATCCCCCAATCATATATGAGTTGGGTTTCAGGTTTTGATTGATTGTCGGGTTTGAGAGATTGACGGTCGGGTTGGGGAAGAAGCAGGTTCGATTTTTGGATTTTCATTTTTAGGTTATTGTTTTTCCGATTTTCCTTGAATGTGATCATGCCCTCTTTTCCTGTTTCAGAAGAGCACGTCTGGTCTTGGAGATTTTATAATCGAATTCGCTGATGGGGATTTGGGAAGGTAAGACACTGTCCGCAACATCGTCGTAATCCTATCCTCTTGAGACAGTGGCTAGGCATAGGCGAAGGTAATTTTATATGTCTTTTCCTTATCTTTTTTTCCCCTTCTCCCCCTGGTAATCTGTCCTGTTTTATCTTTCTGATTCATCGCTTTTGTTTGCTATTTCGGATAGCGATTCGGTGTTTTAGAGTTGACAATCGATCTGAACATTAGAGTCGTCAGAGCGGGCAAGCGAACCAGAAACATCATTTGAAGTTTTTCCCTCCGTTTCACTTTGATCTAATTAGTTTTGTTGTTGTCAAAGATTCATTCGGTGGAGGAACTTCTATTTTAGGACTCTCTTTCTCAATCTTCCAGATTTACTGTGAGAAGTTTTGTTATTTTGGGTTCTATATCTGCATTGACGTCCATGATCGACCCATTTAAGCTTTCTTTTTCCCTTTCGTTTGATTTCCGAGTGTGGAGAACTCGGTAGAGGTCCTTCACATATGGCAGGTTGATTAATAATAGTGTGGAAACATAATTAGGGGACTTCCCCTATTCTAACTGTCCTTTGAGTCTAACTCCATAAAAAAATGTATGTCAGTTCCCTTACGTGTGACCTCTTCATGGGATTTCAAGGTCTGTGTTCTTTTTCTTATTGAGTATTGAGATCAAAATGGTAGTTTTGGTTATCTATTAAATGTATGTGGTGCATAGATGTGCAGGTAATGCTTGCCTTGTGGATTAACCAAAAACTGGAGTACCTGTACTATAACTTCTGGAGAGGACAGTTGATTGGGAGCAGCAACTCAAGAAAGCATATATGTGCTTTTGAATTAGGTCCAGGTTAGCCACTGTTCTCTGTGAATTTTGCAGTTTTTGCTATGACAGAAGTAATCTTTATTTTGCTCTACCTTAGATCCTACTATTTTCATGAATCTGAGTATTTTTACGGTTTATGAATGTTGATGTGCAATAATATGTTGCTTGCTTTCTAAGTGTTCTTGAGAAGGTAGGACTGGACAAAATTGAACCATCACACATAATGTCGTGATCTCCATTTTTTGTGCAGTTGCCTTTACATTGCAGATTTGTCCCCTTTGTTGGTAATTATGTCCCTTTAGGGGTTGTTCCCCCCTTATATGACTACACTAACTAGACTACTCTACTTGACAGCAGTATCACTTATTCTTCTTCATTTAACATCACATTCCTCATATCTCAATGAAGTGGAGACTATTGGAGCTACCTACTGAATGTAAGTACTGATACAAGTGTTGCCAGTAATGCAGTATCTACATGTTAAATTAGCATTCGGTTTTGGTTGTGTTGCCCTTTTCTGTGTGTGGTTTATTTTTGCCACTAAGACCAATACTGAAAAAAGTGATTGGCAAAAGGCATTTCAAGATATGACAAGGAATGAACATGGTGTATCAGCAATCAGCATGCTGCCATTTTGTTGTGTGTTGAATTTGTAACCTTAGAGAGATGGTGATAAAAATCAGCTTATCAGGATGCCATGGCTAGACTTGGCACTATTCTCATTAACTCTAAGTTTACACGTTCATAATAATTGCTATTTCCCATTAAAAATCTTTTATATGTTCTTTTTTTGTTTTATTTGCTCGCCCCATACAGTGCACTGCCATTTTCATTCTGTTTGAGGTTCGGTGAGGTTGATTATGCTTTCTTAAGCTGCTTAGTGAACACTGATGAACTCCAGGTTTACATCTATTCGTGGCTCTTTATATCTAAAACTCTTTGCTTGCTTACAATGTCAGGTCAGAGCTTTATTACAAATCAGATTGCTTGCTTTTATGCCTGGGTTTGCAGGTATGCATTTGAGGACTTATAGGCTGAACTGTAAGCATCTTATTCTGCAACATTTAAATTGGTGAGATTTCTAGGCTGAAATGGACTCAATTTCTTAGCATTCTGTAATTGAATAGAAATAGAAGTTTTATTGGTATTATGGAATCACAGAGGAGGATAAAAATAAAGTTCATTAAACTAAAGCAGCCGTCTTTCATGTCAATTTCTCCTCAATCCACAGTTTCTTTCAATCGATGAACATATGTTGCCATGGGATGAAGAAACCGAACTTCCTGTGTCGTGTAGTTCATAAATTCTTCTTTAACCTTTAATCAATTTCTTTTTGATTAGTAAGATGTTGCCTTATATATAAACACAGGTTCATGATAGTTACTCCTACTGATTCTGTAAGTTGAATTGCTATAGTGTTTCAATAGGTTGTTTTTGCGCCCAGCTGTTGGCTCCATGGTGTAAGGAATATGAATTGTGTGTTTGTATTGACGTGACCGAGCTGTTGTCGGACATGTTGGACAGCAGGCGACTCGACGCTGATCGTGGGCGCCGAAATTCTAGATTGCAACGAAGAGCTAGGGTTTCGGGATTAAAGCTGTAAGAATGTGAATCGTGTGTTTGTATTGACATTGAGAAGGGGCATTTATACCCACAATTGTACAGGTTCATGTAGGACAAGGAAACTTACGTCAATATGAATAAAGATTTATCCCTAATACATGGAACTTACCCTCTACTATCCATTTATGTCTATGGATGCCATACATATGATTTTTGATAGGTTCATTTGACTGATTTTTTGGGATGGATTTCTGACTAAATTCTGTAATTGCTTTCTAGGTAGTTTAATTATCACCAGCTGAAGTTCAATCTATGCCTGATCCCCGCTCATCCATTTTCACTTTCTTTTTAGAATTCTTGGTTTCTATATATTGCTGTATCCAGTGTTGTTTGAGCCGTGTAAAAGGTGATTGTCAAGGGAGTTGTTGACGATAGCTATCTTAATTGAATATCAATATATTATGTCAATTAGGATGTTTTTCGCATCATTCTAACTCATAAATCCCGAGATACTGTCCACTAGCCGAAATTGTAGTCGGCCAAATAATAAGGTATTTACTTCAGGTGCTGCAATTCAGTCCAAACAATGGGTTACGATTTGGTTGGGTAAGATCCTCTAAATGTTATTTCCAGTGCACTATGTATGCGTATTATTAATTCAAATGTTTAAATTATAAGTAATTATACATTTAGTGTTATTAGGTTATAATTAATATGTTTTACATGTTTAAATTATAAGTAATTATACATTTAGTGTTATTAGGTTATAATTAATATGTTTTACAGTGTGTGTTACAACACACACCTCCCGACGCTAGGAGGTATATAGATAAGAGAGGCCAAGCTATGGTTAACTTGGGTAGCGATCCAAAGGTTCATTTTACCTCTCTTTTGTGTGTTGCCGGTTATTTAGCAGAAGCTAACTAGCTAACTAATATGATCCCGTACCTATTGCGCCCGTCGCGTAGCGCGTGCTTTTCCTTACTAGAGTCACATAAACAGCGTTAGTACGTCATGTGTTCACGTCTAATGCTTATTGCGGTGTAGTGGTTATAATTTGACTTAGAAGAACAAATACTTCTGCGATTTCAGGTACATTTATGTCTTCCGTTTCCGTTAGCTCTTGAACAATGCACTAGAGAATGCTTATTAATATTGCACTCAACTTATTTATTCTCGTATGCAGTGCATTTCTGCACCGACTGCATATTTTCCCTAACATTGTCGAATGGAACATCCTGATCATCCCGCCGCGAAGCGCGGGCTTCCTTACTAGTACATATAATAGAGACCACGGTTTCTTTCCCCCCACTAACTATTTAAATATTCCTTGGTAGTGACAGTCTGAAGATTTTTCGCGATCTCATCAGTCACCACCCCACTCATCACACCCACTCTCACCCCAAAATGAAAAAAAAAAAAAAAAAAAATATTCGCCAGCCGATCAAAATCGGGAAGCAAAGCTCGTGCTTGCCCTAGCTTAGCTCCAACCGCCCATATTTGTCAAACACTCAAAACACACGAGATTCGGTTAATCAACGATTCTTAACAATCCTCACGTTTCCAGAATAAGTCATAAAGCAAATGGCGATATAAATATTCGATCTGGGCATATTTGCACGTCTACTTTCTCCCCCGTGAATATTCTCTCCTGTGTGTTCACATGTAAATGGAGTTTGAACGTGTGAAACGATATTCTATTTCGCCTTTGCCTTGTGCAAGATTCTCTCTGATTATATACGTCCTGAGGTCGGTCATGCTAAACCCTAGCAGCACCAATCTCTGCACTGGTTTTATCAGTTTATATTGAAGGGTGATGATACTATTACTGTTCATGCTGGCATTATCTTGGAACAACAAAATATAGGTCTGGCTTGGCTATATATAGTATACTTCTTCACTCTGTTGTTGAGACTTGACGCGAGTTGACCAGTGCTGTGATGTGGATATCCCTAGATAGCCCTCAAGATAGATAGAGAGAAAAATGTAGGGCAGCTGGTGGTGGTGGCAGTGGGAAGAATTTATTCGAATGGGACAGAGACAGAGACGTGTAGTGAGAGCATGGCTGGATTTGCAAGGTTTGTGAAACCGGTTTATGCCAGTGTGCCGGTTTAGCAAGTGGAATGATTCGATCGGTGGCACGTATCGGTTTGTGTCGGTTCATGCCGGTCAATATTACAAATAAAATTACAAATACTCATATTTAAACATGACATTTAGCGTCAATACTTAAACATTTATACTTGAATCCAACAAATAACTTAAACATTTATACTTGAATCCAACAAATAACATCAATATTTAACTTTTATACTCATAAAATAAATAATAAAATTATTTTTATCAATTAAATTCACTAAAATAAGATCATTTTACTTAGAGATTCGTATATCGATCATGCCGATAGTGTCACACCGGTTTTATGACCAGTATCAGTTGAACCAGGTTCAACCGATGGCATGCCGACCGGCGTGAACCATGCTGGATTGGCTTTGTTTTTGGCGACGCCCCACAAAAAAAGAAAGAAAAAGATTGGATTTTGGTTTGCTGGAACCCACAAATCCAGCAAAAGAAAAAATTCCCCAGCAGCTTCCAATTCCAACACGCCGGGCTTGGGTGTTCACCAGCCATCACCAAACATTGCTGCCATTTGCCGATGCAATCTTTTCCATCCCCACCACTAACTAATCAAATTCATTAAGGACAAATTATTAATGGCTTGTGTATCTTCTGTATAGTAGCTAGCAATCCATCTTGGTATGTGAGATTTGCTCTAATTAGGTTTTAATTATTCAGTTAATTAATGCAGTGTGATTATGGTAGTAGTAGTAGTAGTGCATTGGTTGTTGCTACTTGCTACTACTGCCTAGTGCCTACTATTGTCTGGTAGAAAATTGGTTTAATTGTTTTTAAAGTTTGTGGTTTGTTTTTGAAAAAGCTCATGATAAATAATGGTTTTATAGATTTGTTTTCAGCGAATTTTCTTTAATTTTCACATGGATAATTAAGTGATGAATTGAACATTTAGAGGTGCATATATTCACATACACAACATTCAGTTGAGAGGTGATATGACATGCAAACAATGGGTGAATTGCAAACTTGGTCACTCATATTACTCATTTATAACACTTTAGCCACCCGAATTAAAAATCATTCAAGTTAGCCACTGATATTACATGTTTATGTCATATTTGGTCACTCGCCGTCTAGTTCCGTTAAGTCTGTCCTACGTGGCAGTCAACAAATAGGTTTGACCGTTAAAATGCTGATGTGGCCATGAAAAGTAATTAATTGATGAAATTTAAATTTTATATTCTAATACAGCTCACAATTTTCAATTATAATATTATTTATGATAAGAAGTTAACTATTCCCCACCTTCTTCCCAACTCCCTAGTTCCCCCAATTCCCCCATCTCTGTTTCCACAGACCCACGATTCCATCCCAAACCATTCCGCCCATCACCCCTGCAAACCGAAACTCCTCCCGCCACCTTCGAGAATTGTAATCTCCGCTGCTTATTGTCCCCCGCGGCGTTCCCGGCCAGTTCCGAAACCTGAAGAACCAATAAAATCACCAAAACACGACGGTTGGTTTCTAGATCTGGGAGTTTTCAGCGATTCGATTAAGAAAGGGAGTGAGTGCATCGACACTCGCAGGCACCGCGTCGACCCCGGCAACCGAAATCTTCTTCTCTAAGAGCTGGATTTGGAGCTTCAGCGACGAAATTTCGCTCAACAGGGACTCCTGCTCGCGAAGCCACCTCTGCTCTTCCCGGAGCCACTGATTCTCCTCAGGCAGCCCCCGCTGCTCTTCGTGGAGCCAGAGAAGCTCCTCCTTGTCAATGCAACTGTGAATTGGAGCTGGGACCCCATCGATTGCACCTTCTGTTCGTCGTCGTTGGGTTTAATTCGGCGGGACGATTGGGAGGATTGTGGTTTTGCGATGGAAGGCTTGGAGCAGCGGTGGTGGGGATTTTGCGGGGGAAAGAGGATTGGTTGATTTTGCGGCGGGATGCTTGGGTTCGTGGGTTTCAGGGGGCATGGAGGCAGCGGGAGGGGAGGGCGACGAAGTGCAACGGCGGAGAGGGGAGGGCGATGCGGTGGGCTCGCTTTATTAATATTTTATATTGATCAGTTTTTTTATGAAAATAAATATTTATTAGAATTTAGTATGATGTGGAAATAAAAATAAATATTTTTATTATTTTTAATGGCCACGTCAGCATTTTAACGGTCAAATTTATTTGTTGACTGCCACGTAGGACAGACTTAACGGAACTAGACGTAGAGTGACCAAATATGTTATAAACGTGTAGTATCGGTGGCTAAGTTGAATGGTTTTTGATTCGGGTGGCTAAAGTGTTATAAATGAGTAATATGAGTGACCAAGTATGCAATTCACCCTGCAAACAATTGTCAGTATTTCAAATTCGCTACTCAACAAACACGACAAGTTAATGTTTATGTTACCACTTAAAAGCTGTCCAAGATTTCATCTTGTAAAAAAGTTTCTCAATCTCAATTTTGCCAACAACAAAAAAAAAAAAAAAAATTAGAAAGGTTAGATGGCTGACTGACTTTACTTCACATTATTATCCTAATTAAGAACCATGCATTCAAGATTTCACAAAAGATCCTTTCTTAACTTCTATCATCAGTTCACTTGACTACTTTATTAGCACAAAGTATGTGAATGTGAATGAACAAATTAAATAAACATAAATGCTATCAAAATGATCACTTGAAGTGCTTGAATTGGTAATTGGTGATCTCTATCACTCACTGACCCAACTGCATTCTCCTTTCTTATATTTTATGTGACATGTAAATGATCAAGTCACCCATATGCACAAGAATAACCTTTTGTCCATGGAAAGCACATCAAATTTTTGATGTCATGCATCCTTTACCTATTCCACCATATGCGATGATACAACTTTTTGTTTGCTCATTCCAAAACGAAACAAAAAATTTTGAAGAAAAAAAAAAATCAGAATTCATAACGCATTGCTGAACTTTCAATTCACAAATGAAGCTCAAGCAAATCAAACAACTACAACGCCTCGATTTGATCCTAATACTTAGGAGATTAACCATTACGATGAATTGCAACTGCAATAAATTTTACAAGAAAACTTATCAACAACATTATCTATCTATCGCTAATGTCAAACCACAATCTGCAAAAATTTCACTACGAGAATCACACACATATAGATAATTCATGATCAATAATTAACTAAACTCCCAAGGCACAAATTAAATCATAATTCATCCCCAAAAATTTTACCCAATCATTCCACATTTCTACACAAATTAATTTTTATCTCCACATATATCCCCCTCTATACCCCAAGAACAACCACTCCTTTCTTTTGACTAGGTAAAAAAAAGGTGCAAGAAAAAGCTGAACCAAAAACCAATAAATAAAAAACAAAAAAGAAGCAGAAAGAATAAACCCTACTTTTTTCATGAAGGCCCATATCCCGGAAGCTGCCCGCCACCACCACCATGATTCCACCGCCGATCAAGATCCCGCTGCTGATTCACACTCCCGCCGGACCCTCCAACCCCGCCGCCAGCCGCCTTCTCGCCTCCCTTACCCGCCGCCTCCACGGTGGTACTCGTACTTATGCTCCACAACGCCGTATCGGGAACCGAACCCCCCGCGCTTACGTCATACTCCTCCTCCCCCGGCCGCTGCCAGCTCGGCATCTGATGCTGACTCACCGAATTCGGAAACCCCATCATCAAATTCTCCTCCTGACGTGGATTATTCCCGCCCCCGAAAAACTGGTTCGCCCCCGCGGCAAAAGCACTCCCGCCGAACCCCTGCATCAGGCCCAAATTCGATCCCGACGACGCCGAGCCCAATAGCGCCTGGGCCGGCCCAGCCAGATTCGGGTTCAGCGACTGGATCGGGTTCAGAAACCCGGCTGCTCCTCCCGGATAGTACGATCCCAATCCCGCAGCCGGAGGCAGGGGAGGGCTGATCATGTACTGAGAAGGAAGCGATAAATTGGAAGAACCCAGAAACTGATGACCGGCCGATGACGTAGTGGTCGGCGATTGTGACGCCGACGATGACGACGACGACGCGGAGGAGCTGGTTTTCGCCCTTTTCCCCTTCCGGCAGCCGCCGCCGACGGGGACGTTGCGCAGGGTCCCGCCCTGCGTCCAGTACCTTCTGCACGCCTTGCAGAAGTAACGAGGCTGGGAGAGGCTGTAGTTGTTGTAGTAGCAGAACTTGGTGTTCACCGAATCGCAGCGGGGACACTTCTGCGCCGGCGGCTGCGGCTGTTGTTGTTGACTCCGATCTTGACTCCCCTGTTTCGTCTCCCCTTCCATGGCGATCGAAAAAAAAAGGTGAGAACTTTACGATGGGAACGAGTTTGGAGCTTGACCCAATACTGGAAATGGAATTTCCTGAGGTGGGTTTGGGCTTATAGGCCGGGGAAGGGAAGGGGAGAATCTGATTCTGGTTGAACGCGGCTGCAATCTGGAGAGCAGGGGAAGAGCAGAGGAGGAGTGTTACTAATGGATGGCAAACAAAAATCCAGTGGGATTTGGTTTTTTTCAGGTGGAGTAGTTTATTAATATGTGTGTGTGTAATTAATGACTGTGGGGGAAGGAATATGGAAGGGAAATCAGGGAATTAAATTTGTAATTAAGTGGAAGCACTAGTTAGAGACAGGCAGGGAGAGAGAGCATTATTGAGAGAATCCCACATATTAATGGTGGGTTCGTTGAGCAGCTTGGGAATTCTTCAACTCCATTATCAAAGAGAGGTAGCTCTTGATTATTCTGAAAATCGAGATGAAGTAGAGGAGGAGACCAAAAGGCGCATATATGTACTTACTGAACCGGCGGGGGAGTTGTGTGTCGAAGTCGGCGGCGGCCGGGAATCGGGAGGGGTGGTATTACTATCTTTAAGTTTGTTTTTCTCGGGGTATGTTGTATGAAGGAACTTTATGTTAGGTTGTGGTGGTGTTGGCTTCCATTTTTCCTTCTTTTTTCTTTCCCTTGTAGTTTCCAGGCTCTCATGCCATTTGGAGAATCCTTTTTTAGGTCTTGTTCATTCTCTCCAAGTAAAATGACTGTCATAACCTTGAAATGAACCCAAAAAATCCACTATTACTGAAGCTCACATAGGTTAATTTTAACCTAACTTGAAGTCTCCAATTATCTCTATGGATTTCGAAATCATTGAGTCCGCCGTTAATTACAGTCGAAAAATTGATGGATCATATATACGAGAATACTACATAATGTTAAAACACAATACTAAGCTACCCATGACATGCATTTGTTATCATTTGTAATGGTTCTTACACATACATGAATATCTGTATGTCGGTTGGTATTATATCATATGTATATCGATAGTCATGAATTATACTCAAAGCCATACTGATTTCCGGTGAGGAAAACTCTGGTGTTTGATATTAATCGTTGTGACTTGTGGTACAAGATTAATTTTTAGATGTAAACATGCCCAAACTAAAGACAATACAATTTGTCCTCCTTTTGTCATGGATACTTCACATTTTTACATTCATATATCAATTACAACCAATTCCTAATATTGAACAACAATAAACTCCACAACACAATGATTCTGATATGACAAGTAGGGGTCAAAAAGAAGAATCAAAGAAAGACGAAGGTCCATGGTACTTGGTGGTCTAAATGTGGTCTAACTATAATCATGCTCAAGAAAGGAAAGCAAAAAAAAAGAGGAATGGAATTAACGAAGTTTGCATAGAAGTGGATTAGGGTTTTGATTTGACGAGGCAAGCAGGCGGCACGCGAAAACTGAAAGAATGAGAGAAGAGACCACTACCAGCCAGTAGGGCGTAGGCCAAAGCTAAGGTGACGACAATATCCGTTAAGGGGGTTGCAACTGCTCCCCCAATAACGCCATTTCCTTTACATTCATTCCTCTCTCTTTGTCCACTTCCTCTCTCACATTTTTGGCGCCTTCTTTTCACCTTCCTTTGCTTCTTCACGCCCATCAACCATAGATAGCATGAATGTCGACCTATCCTGTTTGGTTCGATTCGTCCCGATTCGTATGCGTGAGTAGCACGAAGTTAATGCGAAAAAAATTATTTCGTACATTAGAAATTAATGCACAAAAATAATTCCGTACATGTATCACCTTATCTGATCCATACTCCACCTATCACCCTAACCAGGCACCACATTTGTTTCTCCATGTTAAAATTCTGCTTCTGAAGGGTCAAATAAGTGAAAAATTCTTCGTGGGCCTTTTTTTTTTTTGTTGCATTTGGATACCAAACCCCATGTAGTGGTCAATTTATTCTGGGCGTAGGCTAGGCCTAGCTACACAACTGGGCTTTACAGGCTCTTGCTACAATAATTCAACCTTGGGCCGTTGGGCGGTCCAATTCTGAGCAAATAATTCAGACGACATATGTACCTTTCCCTAACATGGAACATCAATCAATTTGTCGCTTCTTTTGCTAATTATACACAAAAACAAGCCAATCAGTGGATTAAACCAAGCTAAACTGTTTACACACTAGCTAGATTAGATTATCTTCGTACATGTACGTGAAATTTTTAAATGCTTGTATATAAAATATATTTAGTCTGTGGTCTAGTTAGGCCAATAGCTAGCCCACCTTATAGTTGAATATCGACTCTAGGGTTCTAGCCTAATTCGGATAGCATTTTTCAATTGTTATCGTTGCAATATGACATTACATAACAATCCCATATCCATAAAACATATTCTACAACAACTCGATTAATATTTATAACGCAGTATAACAACCAAACACTATAGATTAACAACGGTCGAGACAACCTTAGACCCTCAATCTCAATCACAAAGTATAGTAGTATATTCCATGCAACAACTCGATTAAACCACTATAGATTAACAACGGTCGAGACAACCTTAGACCCTCAATCTCAATCACAAAGTAAGTCACAAAGTATAGTAGTATATTCCATACAACTCGATTATTTATAACACAGTCTAACAACCTAACGATGGTCAAGACAACCTTAGACCCTCAATCTCAGTCACAAAGTATAGTGGTGACGTGCTGAATGCTCGATAAAAAGACTCTTTCCATTGATTTATAATGTTACATTCTCTCGACTGCACTTCGAAGCCCTACTTGGTTATGTATTTGCCAAAAGACAATTCAAAATACAGAGTTCCACAAACACTGCTTCATTGAAAATTTCATAAAACAAGAACAGAATTCCCCATCCCTGGCCCAAACCCTTGCTCCACGGGCCAGCCAACTAATTACCCAACCAACCCACATATTATTGAACCACGCTCCACCCAAATCCATCCAAAACCCTAGCCAGAACCACAACTTCAAAACCCAACCTCATCAGAAGTCGTCCTTCTTCCTCCCCTCGCCGTCGGCACGCCGCCTCAGCTCCGCCACGTCAGCATCCACCGTCTGCCACCCTTTCTCACCACCATCATCATCATCCTCCTCACTACTCGTCCCGCTGCTCGTCATATCGTCATCGTCGTCTTTCCCGACCACCGTCTCCTTGATCTTCACCGTCGTGTCCTTGGCCGCCTCCCACGCCCCTTTCACCGTCTCCTTCGCCTTCTCCGTCACGCTCTCCGCCACCCCCTTCGCCTTCTCCCCGCCTTCCTTCGCCTTCTCCTTGGCGTCGTAAGCGTAATCCTTCGCCCTCTCCTTCGTGCTGTCGGCCGCCTCCGCCGCCTTGTACGCCCCTTCCTTCGCCCTCTCGGAGGCGCCACGGGCTGCCTCCTTGGCGCTCTCTGTCGTGTCGCGCGCGTAGTCCTTCATTTCCTCGGCCTTGTCTCGCGCCTTGCCGGTGACGTTGTCGCGGTTTTTGTCATGGTCCGCCGCGTTCCAGCCCTAGATGTCCGAAAAGAATTGTAAAAATACAAAAAATAAAAAAATTATCGCCTATATTATTCTTAAGTGATGTATCACGCGAAATTTCATTTATTGAATGTTAAAACTTATCGTATTAAGTAAAAACTGTTACGACGGTAAAGATAGATCCAAGTATACCTGGTTATAGTTATTGGATTTGGAGGTGGCGGAGGAGAAGGAGATGCGGGAGAACTTCCACGTGCGGCGGAAGAAGAGGCTGGAATTCGCCACCAACGGTTGGTTTCTCGGGAAGGCTCTCGGGAGGCGCCAGAACGCCACGCTTCTCGTCATCATCGATGATAAGGCAGCCATGGTAGTAAAGTTTGGAAGAGTGACAAAAAAAAAAAAAAAACACTCTCTCCTTTCTGGTACGTTGTTGTTGTTTGCTTGCTAGCTTGCTGCTTTCTCGGGTTGCTTTCCAGGGCTTTTGTTTTGCTTGGAATGAATGAATGGATCGTTTTTCATGCGGGATTTATGGGGGGAAGACGAGCTAGACGGTGGCAGCTTGGTGTGGCGACACGTGGAGAGGAAGGTGACACGTGGGTGGGAGGCTTGCGTCGGTGGCGGGGTGAGGTGGTCAACACTCGTGTGTCACTTTGCTAGCTCCCGAGTTGTTGATAAGAGTGAAATGAAGTGACCGTCGTTGTTTAAAGAGTCAAAGAAAAGCATATTAATGGGCTTTTAAGTTTGGGAGCCTCTTTTTCTGCAAGTCTGTTGCGTTGTTTACTGTTTTGATTATGTGGGCTTATCAGCTTATAATGGGCCTATTCTAAGCCTAATTAAGTTATAAGCAATGTGACTGTGAGTATGAGACTGCAGGTGGATAGCTCAAAACACCATACCTAACCTAATTACCTATTTTGTATAAACTATAAAGTATGGGTTAGATTGGTTAATACACGTAAAATAGTAAGAGTGCACGACATACAAGAACTCCGAAATTAAACATGCTCAGTTTGGAGTACAATAAAGACGAGTGATTTTATAAGAAGTCACCTTGAATTGTATCTTAAGTCAAAAATCGTAAGGGTCCAGACTCAAAGCAGACAATAATTTGCGCCGGGAAAAGGTTCCGGATGTTACAAAAAGTACAAGAAGAAGAAAAAATACAACAACGTATAAAGGCAAATGGTCAAGATAGGATGAATACAAAATGAGGTGACACGTAATACAAGAATAAGACGAAAGTCATATCCAATGTTATTATGACTCGAGTAATGCTTGCTTCAAACAAATCTGAGCCCATTCGAGTTGAAATGAAGATGATGGAGTTACTTTTTTCCCCCCTACTCTGAGAAGGCTGCAAGCAACAAACTAGTGAGACCCCCACAAATTTGACTTCTTACTCTTGGTCTTGTAATTAACTCAAAGTTTTGTTTGGTACTAAAAATTGAACTCTCCATGGTTGTCTTTTTCTATTCAAAAGAACATGGATGAGTTGGCAGTAACTGAATTGTGATGATAGCGATGGGGAAAAAAAGAAGAAGATAAGAACATAGTGGTGCTGAGATGTTGAGAGAAGTCTGAGGAAAAGAAGAATCCAAGATTCAGAAGAATCCATTCCACGCCATGTTCTTGTATGTATGGAGTAAAAGTAATTAAGTAAAATTTGAACAATGGCTTTCTCTATATAGAGAATGAAGTTTGAAGGGTAAAACTTGGTAATGGAAGTATTGAACATTCTCATACATGATATCACAAATGAGGATGAAAGAAACAAGAGTGAATTGAGAAAGTTCTGATTAAATTTCTTTATACATGTTATGAGTAATTGTTCGGATTAACGACATGTATACTGAAAACTAATGGATTAAGTTATTCAGCTTCAAATATCTTTCATGTAAGTAATAAAAATATATTTTAATATGTAATTAAATTATTACGTTTGATTTAATAATAGGCAACCTTAAGGACACTACTAAAAGTTTTCCAACCAAACATAATAACCCGCCAAAATTTCGAATCCCAATAGGTAGGCGGGAGACGAAGGATATTTTTGCTAGCGGTTTTTTGGTAGCTAGTATTCAATTATAAAAGTTTTTCCAATCAAATACTTTAACGCTCGGAATCTTCTAATCCTAACATGTACTTGGTGGAGGAATTTTTGGTCAATGGTCATTCTAAAAGTTGATTTTCTTTAATAATTTTTCAATCAAGCAAAGTAACGCTCCGAATCTTCGAAACCATATTGGTAGTTACGACGAAGGAATGTTTGACCAACCGTTATTCTAAAAGCTAGTTTCGTACTTTTCTTTCTCCAAATTTGTGTTGTATTAGGCCATCGAGAAAAAAATAAACATCATGATGTTGTTGCTCGATGGTCTCTGTAATGTGCATTTTGGTTGGTGGTAAGGGCGACATATGGATATGTTCTCGTATTGAGTCGCGACATCATGATGGCCTCGAAAATTCTCTGATTCCACAATTGTTGGTAGCATTGGATACTTTAGTTTCTTACAACGATTAAAACTTTTGTCAGGTAGTTGCAAAAGAGGATGCTCAGGTCATCATCCAGCAACCATATTTAGCAATCCAACCATTAATTATGTTTGAATTGAACAAGACCTTAAGGACAAAACAAAATGTTTCCAACCAAACATAATAACGCGCCAAAACTTCGAATCCCAATAGGCGGGCGGGACGGAGGATATTATTGCTAACAGTTTTTTGGTAGCTAGTATTCAATAATAAAAGTTTTTCCAGTCAAACACTGTAACGCTCGGAATCTTCAAATCCTGACACGTAGTTGGCGGAGGAATTTTTGGTCTACAGTCATCCTAAAAGTTAGTTTTCATTAATAATTTCCCAATCAAGCAGAGTAACGCTCCAAATCTTCAGTTAGGTAGTTACGAGTTACGACAGGAGGAATGTTTGGCCAACCGTCATTCCAAAAGCTAGTTTTGTACTTTTCTTTCTCCAAATTTGTGTTGTATTAGGCCATCGAGGAAAATAACATCATGATGTTGTTGCTCGATGGTCTCTGTAATGTGCATTTCGGTTGGTGGTCAGGGTGACATATGGATATGTTCTCCTCGTATTGAGTCGACATCATGATAACCAGTCACCACGCAAATTCTCTGCTTCCAGAACTCTTGGTAGCATTGGATACCTTAATTTTTTTTACAACGATTAGAACTTTTATCGGGTAGTTGCGGAAGAGGATGCTCTGGTCATCATCCAGCAACCACATCAGTTCATCATTCATCACGTTATTAGGGTTCTTTCCTCTAAGACCATGTACGTCTAACAACCGCTGATTGAATTGCTCATACAATGGCGCATAAAAAAACATTTTCCTTTTCTTAGGCCAAATTGAGGATTAAATTCTTGTATCTTAGACCTATCTCTTGATACATATCTATCAATCAGAAGAAGAAAAAAAAATAACACCACAACTAGAAGAAATCCAACCATGATCAAGAGACTATGCATTCAAACCAAATATGGCGCCAAAATTAAACCCCCCTCTTCTTCATCTCCATCTTTATCTGCCATGTTCATCGAACCAAAGCTGTTGGGGCTTCTCTGCTGCCTCCTCAACTTATTCAGAGCCGTTGCGAGAAAACACAAAAAACCCTTACTCCTTTTCAGCCATTTGGCAACACTCTCTTCTCCCCACCATTGGTCAAGCATAACTCACCACCTTCAGTTTCTTTCCTTCCTTCCAATGACCTCCTTTTTAACACTTGGCTGATTTCCCCTGCCACCATCTTTAATTTTTTTTCCACCTTCTTAAGAACCCTCAACCCCCTCCCTTCCTCCACAATGCGGCACCCCAAACCTCTCTCACAGCTTAAAGCTGCCAGTCACTACTCTTCTTCTTCTTCACCTACTCTGTTCCAATGGAGAACCAGGACCTTTCCTCTGTTTTGCCTACTCAAGATCCCCAACTCGATCCCCTGCCTCAGGCTCTGCCTCCGAGTTACCTCCCACCACCTGATGACTCAGTGAGCCAATTTTACTGGTCACAGAAGCAAGAGACAAGGGTTCTTGAATATGCATTCAGGACCAGGCTTGCGAGGAGCAAGAGGAAGCTAGCTCGCCAGAGAACCATTTTGGCTAAGCTTTCTTCTTCCTCCTCTTCCTCTTCTTCCTCTGGTGGAGGTGTGACTGTGGAGATCAAAAACAAGCCCGATGATGGCAGCAAGTGTTGGTTTGATTTCTACACCCCAAACAGTAAAGTCAGTGTCTTTGGTTCATTTTTTTTTTTTTTTTGAAATGGGGTTCAAATCCCTTATTTGGGTCATGTTATTTTGGTCCCTGATGTAATTTTTTTTGTGTCTTTTGTCTTGTGTTTGGTTGCAGAGGCTGAGGGTGCTGTTGAAGAAGGATCTGAAGAACAGTGATGTGGGTTCTCTTGGGAGGATTGTTCTCCCAAAGGTAATTAGGGTTTTCTGTTCACCAGAATTGAATGTTTTTTTTGTTGTTTTGTGAATTTGGTTTCTTTTGGGGTTGTTTAGCTGATTTTTGTCAACCTCTAGACCAAGAAGGAAAAGGGAAAGAGAGAATCCATCTGGTTACAGAGTAAATGTCGTTTTTTTTCAAAAATTGCGAGAAGTCGATTGTTCTAGTGAATATGATTACATAGTTGGTAGGAGTTGGCCATGATTTTTTTATCGGACGGGTAATCAGTACAATATTTGAGGTTAGGTGCTTCGATTCGATGTTGATTTTCGCTATTTTGTCTTTGTTCGTTATACCGTTTTCTTTAAATGGTTGATGATTCATCGTCCGTACTCCGGTTAATATTTTCTTTTGGAAGATGATAGATCGGTTTGGCATATAATTGCTATTGTGACCCCCCTATACTTCTAAAATTTTGTTTCAAAGTGTTATCATGTGATTTTTGTAGAAGGAGACCGAAGAAAACCTACCTTTCCTCATAGACAAAGAAGGGATTCAACTTGTGATTAGACACCTCTACACACAACAAGAATGGGTTCTGAAATTCAAGTATCATATTTGTCTATTCCTTGCTCTTTTTATGATCCAAATTGCAAATTTTTGTGTTTTCTTTTGCTAACAAGAATACCTTGTTGTTGCAAAACATACTAGGTTTTGGATTAATAACAAAAGCAGAATGTACGTCCTTGAGCACACGGGTAACTTCCCAATTAAATTCTTGCTAAAATATTTCTCTTTGTCAGTAAATTGTTGTAGTGTTCATGCAACAAAGAAAATTATTCTCTTTTTTGTTGTATTTTTCACAAATTTGCAGGAGAATTTGTGAAGCAAAATGGGATGGAGAGTGGAGATTCTCTCTTCTTGTATGAAGATGAAAACAACAACCTGGTGAGTAACCCACCCCTATACTTGGTTCTCTCTTGACAATGCAAGTTTGATTGAGTGGTTGTGAATTGTGATGTCAGTTTCTGAATTCAGAGATCCCGATTTTAAAGATTGTGATGCAAAATCGTCTTTTTCCTCTCCCTAGTTAAGACACCCACAAAAAAATATTTCTCTTTCATCATAATTATCAAGACAAGTAATTGATTAAGATGCCATATAAAACCAGAAGATAATTAATTGATTAGTTACAAACTTCTTTTTGGTTATGCAATTAAACTCTTTCATTCACTTTCCTTTTATAAGAAAAAGAAATTTGAATAAGTGGGTGGGAGACTTCTCAAGTTTTTTTCTTGTATGCAATTAAATTCTTTCATTCACTTTCCTTTTATAAGAAAAAGAAATTTGAATAAGTGGGTGGGAGACTTCTCAAGTTTTTTTTTTTGTATGCAATTAAACTCTTTCATTCACTTTCCTTTTATAAGAAAAAGGAATTTGAACAAGTGGGTGGGAGACTTCTCAAGTTTATATTTTTTTTGTATTAACAACTAGACGCATAATCAAATGTAACATGAAAAAATAGTTTTAGAAAGTTGAGATGTCGAACTCATTTGAAATATATATTGAAATTTTATCGTTTGGGGATATATTATACTTGTATGACTTTTATGTTCTCAGTATTACACAATTCAGAAGGCATCAAAATCAGGAGAAGCCGAGCCATTAGAAATTGCAACAGACAACAGTTACGAGAACTATTTCGACTCCTATTCGGCTAGAGATGATGATGATGATGTATCATTAGCGGTACTTATCGAAGACCTCAATCACAAAGAACAAAAGGAAGAAGAAGAAGTACGCAGCCTTATGGAAGTAGTTTATGCTTCAAATGCTCAGGAATCTGAATTCAACTACAACAACTACACACCGCAAAATGCATACCAAAGGCAAATATAGTGAAGTTTTATAAAACAACAACAACAAAATAGAAAGAAAAAAAATGTAATTGTATCTATGGTGTGTTAATTTCTTCAAAGTACAATGTCAGTAAGGTGTTGGGTGACTAAGTATTAAGAAACAAATGTTAGCAATGTACTTCAAAGTACATCGATGAACTCGTGATAATGGAATGGATATAATATGTTTGTGTTTCGTTTTATCAAACAATACATTGTGCAAATACATAATAATTTGATCGAGAAATCATGTGTCAAATAACTCATCCAAATGAATTGTGCAAACGTATTGATAACTACAAACACAAAGAAAGTGCAAGAAAAGTCCTACCAACTCGTAATTCAAGTGCACAAAGAAGCTTCCATCAGTGGAGTACTTGTCCTTCGAAAAGATCACTCAATCCTCTTCCTTCTCAGACTATTTCACCCCCAGAGCCCACTTCACCACCGCCAAGTACTCATAACTTTGAGATACACTGTGATGGATCGTTCCTACACGATTCCTAGGAGGCGGCATATGGCGTAGTTGTTACTAATGCCCATGGTCAAGTGTGTGATGGGAAGGCTGAGATCCTACATTGCTATTCTTCGCTAGAGGCAGAAGCTAAGGCCCTTTTGGAAGGGACTCGTTTGGCGGTCTCCCTTGGAGTTCCATGCTTGGTCAGGTCCGACTGTCTTGATCTGGTCAAGCAGCTGCTGGTCCTGAGGTTGGTTGCCCTTGGAGAGCCCCTTCGTGGATCGGATTGATCAAGCAATTGTGTGTTTGGAATCCAGGGATCTGTATCGAGTTTGTTAGCAGGAAGTTGAACATCAAAGCCGACTGGGTTGCCAGGTCCTATGTTAGGAACCAGCTTCCCCCAGATTGGATTCACATTCTTGATGTTATCTCACCCCTGTTGTAACCCACGCTTTTGTTACTAGTAATGAAAAGCACATGTCCTACTGTAAAAAAAAAAAAAAAAACTCGTAATTCAAGTTGTCCAAAGCATTTCCTTTCATAAAATAAAAATTGTCCTTAGCATCCCGAAAGGATAATAGCAGGCTTTTAGCCCATTCAGCTTTGGATTTACAGACCCATGAGCCCATGTCACGACCCATCAGTCGCCCCAAGCCCATAACCCGAATTATCAGTTTGCTGTTCAATCCTTTCCCGTTCGTTCGCAATCCCCTTTTATCCAAAACCCAAAATTTCCCGATAACCATTTCTTCTCCCTTCCTCCCATTCTAAGCTCGCTCGATCCGCAACAATGGCGGCAACGACGCTAACACTATCCTCCTCATCCTCCTCTATCTCACTCCACAATCCAACTCCCCGTTTCTTCCTCCTAAACAAGCCCGCCAGCAGTAAGCTCTTCCTCTCTTCCTTATCCCGCCTCTCCCTCTCCTCCACCGCCACAGCGACGATTACCGTTCCCCGGTCCAATCCCGGCGAAATCGACACTTCCTTCTTCGACGACGAATTCGAATCCGAGGAGGAAATCGTGTTCGACCCGCCAACCCCGCCGGAAGGGTTCATCGCGCCGCCGTACTTTGACGAGGGCCCGCCGGAGACCGAGGATGAAATCGCCGCCGCGTACGAGGAGCTCTACGGGCCTGCGTACAGCGGGGAGAGCTATCTGGGCAAGGACATTTACGTAATGGATTCGAAGGCGAAGAAGATGACGGCGTTTGGGAAGGTGAAGAAGGATAAGATTAGAGACGGGTTCGAGGAGAGAGTGATTCAGGTGAGGAGAGTGACGAAAGTGGTGAAAGGAGGGAAGCAATTGCACTTCAGGGCGATTGTGGTGGTTGGGGATAAGCAAGGGCAAGTTGGGGTTGGCGTTGGGAAGGCTAAGGAAGTGATTGGCGCTGTGCAGAAATCCGCCATTAACGCCAGGAGGAACATCATCACTGTGCCTTTGACCAAATACTCCACTTTCCCTCACAGGTAAACTGTTTTTTGAAGGTTCATAAGGTTTTGCTCTGAAGTTACTGTCTTTAAGCTGCAATGGTATGTGGTGTTTGTGGGTTTCAGTAGGAGCTTGAATTGGCCCCATAAGGGATTCAGAATTCATAAAGAATACCCATTTGGTTGTAGAAGTAGACCATAGTATAAAGATGGGACATTGAACTTAGTATTGTGACATTGTGAGCATCAAAGTCGTCCCATTACGCCATGATTGGTCTTTCCAGTTATGCTGCGGATTTGAGAGCCTTCGATAGGAGTACAGTGTCTGTCATATCAGCTAACATAATGGCAAATGCTGATGGAGGAAATGCAAATGTGGACAAGTGATTTATTGGTACGAGTTTAGTGCTTCTGTTCTTGTCTCAATATTGAGTTTCGATGTCCAATGTGATACAATTGATCCTGTGTAGAGCCTTGCCGGTGTTAATGATATGGAGAGTTGCCCTACAATGAGTTCTGATGATCTTATAATTAAAGATCAATGGTTAAAAACTATATATCTTATGGAGATTAAGCTGTTACTGCTACTGGGTGTAGATTGTCTATCATATCATCTGTCTATGGCTTTGCTCTGTATTTGTTTTGAAATAACAGTACTTGTCTGATCTTTTGTGGACTTCCTTCTCTATAGACAGTCTCAAAAGTCAAAACTCACCATTATATGCTTAACATTCAGATCCGATGGGAAGTACGGAGCAGCAAATGTGATGCTAAGGCCGGCCTCTCCCGGTACTGGAGTCATCGCAGGAGGTGCTGTCAGAATCGTGCTCGAAATGGCTGGTGTGGAGAATGCATTGGGAAAGCAGCTTGGAAGTAACAACGCCCTCAACAACGCTAGAGCCACTGTCGTTGCAGTGCAGAAAATGAGACAGTTCAGGGACGTTGCTCGTGAGCGTGGTATTCCAATGGAGGAGCTGTGGAAATGAAGACCAGACTGTAATTTCATTTGTATCATTTGGATTTTGTGCAGAGAGAACATTTGATTTCCATGTGTTTTTGTACTTTGGGCGGCTGAAAATCTGTACTGAAAAAAGCACCATTTCATTTCCTTCTCTTGCTCCAAGAGAAAAAAGAAGAGTTAGATATTGGTGTTTCTAGTCCTTGTAACAGAGCCAACAGATACGTCTCTATATTATGATTTTTTCTCAATAGTCCCAATACTGGGCAAACTGTTAACACTTAACAGTGAATTATTCAACAAGAATCCAAAAATATTCAGAACAAGGTAATATTCAACAAGAATCCAGAAATATTCAGAACAAAGAAAAAGACTGCCTGTTGCTGCACAACTCTATAGATTGGTCAGAAAATGTGTCTCTATAGAACTGCCTGTTTCTGTAGTCTGTATGAACTGTAAAGAACTCCCTAGTTCAGGTGACAAAATCATTTTGTTCAAAAATTAGTCCTCATCTCCAGAGCTTGACGAATCCGTCATGGCTTGCCGATGCTATCAATCCAGCCGCAGGAGAACTCGCCATTGCAGCGATGATCCCTTTGTGAGCTTCAGTCGAGCACTTCTGATTCGCACTCCAGAACACAAGGTTCTGTGGGCATCATCCAGGCAAAAAAACCAAAAGTCAAACACTTGGTGAAAGTCCACTCTGTGGGGTAAAAAAGAGTAGTGTTTTACATTTTTTACCTTGTAACCACCAACCAACAGGGCTTGCGAGAGGTGAGGATGAAACGTGCAGGAGTGGAAGTTTCTACCATGAGACATCAGCTTGTGTATGCACTTCCCGCCGGCGGCCAGCGACCAAATTCGGGCACTCTCTTCACTCACAGAAGCAATGTACTTTCCGGTGGAATCCCAGCAGATGGAACGAACGTCGTTCACATGGTCCTGCATTCCGGTACAAATGAAGCAAGAGTCTTTTTAACCGTGGTAAGGAAAATTGGTTAGGAGTAAAAAGATGGACAATTCAGGATTTTTTTTTACCTTCAAGGTGAGTTGGACAGCGTAAGTCTCGGAGTCAACTACGGAGACAGTATTTCCAGAAGCGAGGGCTAGTAACTTTCCTGATTGGGGCTGGAATCTGACCTGAGCAGTAGCTCCCTACAAGTGCAATGTTCGAAAGCACAGATTGAGTCTTGCTTGAGAGACAAGTTATCCAAGTTGAGCATTTTACGGACAGGGATAATGTGTTTAGAAGAGTTGGGGCTAGACCTTGGAGACTTTTAGAAGACAATCCTGGTTCACATTCCACAATCGGATCTCGCCATTGCGGTCACTTGAGCAAAGACGATCGATTTGTCTCGGGTGGAAATCTAGTGAAAGTACCTGCTCGCTATGCCCTTTGAGCTTGAAGAGTGACCTGCTTGGCTGCAGTGGACAAGAAGGCATTAGAAAGAACACTTGGAAGAGAAGTAAGCTAGATAGGGAAGGGGGAGATGGATTACTTTTTCTGCATCCCATATTTGGACTGTCTTATCGAAGGATGATGTGGCAAACACAGTCGTACTTGGCTGGAAACGAATATCTGTGACGAGGTTTGAATGCCCACCTGAATTCCTGGTGTAACGATAATTTTCTGTGTTCCAAATCCAGACCTGCCAAAACAATGCAAGTATGGAACATAAAGGGGTCTGAAAGAAACTTCCATAGATGAATGAGAATATATATATTCACCTTCTTCTCGTGTCCAGAGGTGACTAACAGCTTCCCGTTCGATGAGAAATGGCAACACAGCATCTTGTTTTTGCTCATGTTCAGCCTGTTAACTGATTGTATTGCTTGGTAGGTTGCTTGAGGATATTGCGCTGATGAAGAAGAACAAATGCCTGACTTATACACACGAACAGTCTTGGAAACCAAGAAACCAGTGTTTGTTTTGTAAACTCAACGAGGCTTACCTTCATCGTGGCCTTCAATCAATCGAATGCTTTCTTCATCACCATTTTCATCACCATCAGCAAACAAGAAGGATTGGATGAAATGATATTCAGGTCTTTTAACATCTGGTTCCCATGTATCCTGTACAACCGTGGATGTTTCCAATTATAGATGGGGAATAAATTTAATACATCTGTACCAACGTTAGGAAAGAAACTGGCGTTTAAACTTCATTTAAAAATGAAAAACCATTACCTCCATCTCTGTTGCTTGCTGCATTATCTCGTCATCTTGATCTGGTTTCTCAGCTTCTCCGTTTTTCTCAGTCATCTTAGTTCATCATAAATCACTTAGTGTTTAGACAATTGTCGTACTTACAAACACACTTTCATTCCCAATCTGAAAATAAAATGGATTTTAGTACTCTTCTGCTATGGGCTTACCGTTTCATTCCCTTCTAAATTGGAGTCCTTCGAATCTCTTATGTTGGTGTCCGCAGAGTTCCCGGGCCTAGTAGCAATAGTTCCTTCTGCAACTGCAAGTGGTGGACGTTGACCAGGTGACTTCTGTTGACCTTGCTGCCCCTTATCTGAAAGGAAACCAGGCTGAAACTTTTGGGCGTCCATCAGAAAGTTCATCAACCATCCTTCTGGCGGCATTGGAATCGTCCCTTAAAAGTTATCCAGATGTTAACATCAAGTTGTTTGCATGTAATTCTAGACACAGACATCAGCTTTAAAGCGTACTCATCTCATACCTTCATCAGAAGAAGCTACAAATTCAGGGCCACCTCTGCCAAAAGATGCTTCTCCATTACTGCCATTGTCCACCATGTTACTACTGCTGCCAGTTTTTATCCCTTGCCCATTGTTCTGGAAAATTACCAAACGACTCAAATTAGCTAACACTGAAAGTTGCCCACTATTACCAGAGAACTGACTCATTAATGGATGATGTTCCATACTGCAATTGGTTGACGCAGAATCGGGTTCTGAACTGGTCCTTTCTGCAGGTTGCTGCATTATACATCAACAATGTAATCAAGCATAAGGAGTTAATTAATATCTTGGTTAGCAAGCTTGATCAGGTCTCTATTCAAAGCAAATATACCTCTGAGAAGCTGAGCTGGGTGCAGCAGCAGTAGCCTGTAATGTGGGCAGATTCAGTTGAGGCTGGATATCAGCACTTTGTGGATGATAGGAGAGCATGTTTCCAACAGGAGGCCGCATGGAATTATTAAACTGTCGATGTTCATTGAACATCCTTCCATACTCCAGAGGGTAACCAGTCCTAATTGGCATTTGCCCTGCTGCAGCAGGCATACCACTGATTAAGCTGGTTCCACCACCACTAGGTAACTGCATCGTCATGGGTGGCCGCAGCATCTGTTGATTCATAGCGAATGCTGTCTGAGCTAGCCGCAATCTCCGCACTTCTTCTTGTGTCATTGGCTGATGGGTCTAAACAAAAGAACAAAGCTCTCTTAACACCATGTTGTGCATCATTTGCTCATTAGTTTCTGTATCATAGTTAAATGTAAAAGGGTATTTCAGAATGATCACCGCTACATTGAACATTGGCGGTGGCGGGGCCTCTCTACTCATACGCTCCCTAGAGGACATCATATCATGTAACATTGTCCACCATTCGAGCAAAAACCCCTCCTTCGCATCAATAACTTCAAAACAAAGAAAATGGGGGACAAGAAACTTTATGTTGTATAACAACGATGACCCAAAAGTAATTTTCCATCTCTACAATCCAAAGTTCAGCAACCCAACAGGGAGAATTATGCATAGAATATGGTGGCAGCCATTTAACGTGACTTCGTTTGTTTGTTAAGACATTTGGCATTTGCGGTTAGTGAAAATAATTAACTAGAGGAGAATACGTAGAAGACTTGAGACTATTTTAACTTATGTAAGCGACTCGTTGACTCAGATTATGTAGCTAATTAAGGGTCCATTAAGTGCGGGACCCACATGGAATTAAACTATAATTAAGCAATTAACACCTCGAGTTTATAGTGAATGTACGTACATGAATAGTGGCTAGCTCCTACTAATCATTGCATGTCATTATGTGATTAACATTCGCATTTCCATTTCCATCTTGCTTAAAAGGAAAATTAAAACCATGATCTGCAACCTCAAACCAACATCACCCCTAGCTACTATATTAAACTAGGTAATAAGCAAGGTAAGATAATAGCATAACATCAATTCTCTGCAGTGATTTTGGGCGATTCGAGAACTCAATGCTTAGGATGAATTACTCTACACTCATCTGAAAAGAAGAATCGACAGCAGAAAAGAAAAGGGACACTCGCTGGAAGTACATTATGCAAATAATACGTACCGACTTCCGCCTGTTGAACATTGCTCTCGGCTCTGAAATGCGCTGCGGTCTCGTGCATATTCCGTTTCACCATGTAATCCAGCAAGTACATGTCGAACCTGCGCCACCAAATTCATCAACCGAAGAAGAAAACAACGACGATGATCGTCGTCGATCGGTGAGGATTGCGAGCCAAAACAGCGATCTAGAAGTAAAGCTAAACTTGTGGGAAAAGCTAGCTGAAATAGTTCAGTGAGGCAAATGAGCTAACATCTTCTGTGCATCCCACCAATTCTCGGCCATTCGATCCCCTCCGCGCTTCTCGTTACCTCCTCCGATTCGTCGCAAATCCTTCTTCTCTCACGCTCTGCAATCTCAATCCGAAATCAATCAGTTCGTCAGGTAAAACGGAAGTTTCTCGAGCTGAGAACGAACGCGTGAAGAAAATCTGAACTAATTAGCTGGGCGCATGCAGAGAAAACAGAGGAAAACTGATGAAAATGGCGACGAGGAAACAAACGAGAACAGATTTTGTTCATGTATATAGGTGCAGAAAGTGATTTCGGATTTCTGGAAACGGACCGCGCCACGCTGGCGGAGGAGAGCGGCCGGGGAGCCGCGCTGGGGAAGCGTGCTTGGCTGACATGTAAGGCGTCTGTGTTTGCTTTCTACCCTCTGTGTTTTTGCTGGTGAAAAGGATTTTTATCTTTTTTTTTGTTTTGACAGTGGGCGGTACGGTAATTGAAATGAAATCAAAATAATATAAAAAAGTTAATTCAATACTTATAAGAAAAGGTGATAAATGAAATCAAAATAATATAAAAAAGTTAGAAATCAAACCTGTTAAGAAAACCAAATCTCCACATAATTTAATAGAATTTGAAAGTTCTCGACAATCCATACGACATATAAATAAGTTTATACTAATATCGTCTGATAGATAGTCAGGCGACGAAAAAATGATATAGAAAAAAGAGATGTATGAAGTGCATAATCATAGATGCTAGGAATAGTCTCAATTATAAGGTTGTGAAAGCATTATCCTTATCTAATTGTAATTATCCACATAATTTAGTGTGTCGAATAATTATTGAGTACAACTAAATTGAGCTTATCTAACATGGTCATTTAGAGTGTAATAAAATTTAGCTCAATTTATAGGATCAAAATTCGGATAAAAATGTCCAACTCACCCACAGACTAGGCCCCACCAAAAAATTAATTGGGTCATGGGCTGAACTTCAAGTGGTGGACCTAAGAAAAGCCCAATCTTGGGGCTTGTTATGTATGATTAGGTTTCCCCCCAACTTGAACTAGCCAACATTGATCTTTACGCCTCCTTTTATCTATCGTATTGTCGGAAAACCAACACGTTCATATCAGAGTTTCAAATGCAACGTGAATGAGATAGTTAAGAGTATTAGACATGGAATTAGACAAATCTACTATGGATGATTTGCAACAGTAATACAATCTAACGAAATGGGGAAGTGGATTAAGTCAAAATTTGCCACTAAATCTACACCAAAATGGTTTAAGAAAAGTGCCGCCAAATGAACAGACATTAACGGATAAGAAGAGAGAGTTTAGAAAAAGAACCTCTATTGTGGGCTTCGGGAGTGGTGGAGTCGGAAAGGAAATTCAGAGTGTCGAAAGTAAAGGGTCAAGAGTTACAAGAATTGAGATCTAGAAGCTAATTCTCGACTTGGACTAGGTATCTCTCCTTGGAGGCAATCAATGTTAAACTGAGGCGAAAGCAGAGCACTCGAAAAAGTATTTCACTAGTTGAAATAGGTTTCTGATTCTTGATAGTAGCGAAAAATTATATAAAGCCGAGCCAACATGACAAGGAGGGAGGGAGGAGGAGGAGGAAGAAAGAGATGGGGGAAAAAATTCCTTTTCCCCGGTAATCAAATATTTATAACGTCTCTTTTTCTTTTTTAAGCCACAAAAAAAGCGCTTCTTCCAAAATTGAGGCTAATTATTTTGCTATTTCTTTAATGACTTTATGACGCGTCCTTTAGTTGCCTATTTTCATTATATCGTACGAGTTAATGTAATTGTTATCCTTATGCCACCGATACATAAAGACATGTCTGATTATGATGATTTTGAAATTGGCCACATTAGTAGTATGGGTGTGCAATGAATCTATTCACACTGAGCCGACCGAACTGAATAAAATTATTTTCAAATTTGAATTTTCATATTTAAAAATGTTTTTCTGATTCCGTAACAAAGATTGAACCAAATCGAAACCGTATATTTCACTAGTGTTATATTTAGAACTAGTCTCTAACAAGCCTCACATGATGTAAAATGAATCGATAGTGCATCCCTTGTATATGGGTCGGTAATTTCCATCCAAAGTACAAATTTCAAAACTAAATTAACTAGTGTATCTCTTATCTAGTGGCGGATCCAAAAATCCGAATGAGGGGGATAAAACTTAACACACAGAGAATTCGAACTAGCGAGGGAGGACTAACGCCTTATCAACTACTATATTTTGCCAATTTATTACGAAATTTACATAATTTTGTGAGTTGAGCAGGGGCTATAGCCTATAGCCTACCTGTCATTAACGTAACTCCACCACTGCCCTCCTCATCTTGGCCGCAGAGATGAGATAGTTAACGAGTATTTAAATCAAGTCAAGCTAAATCATATAAGATTTACCACAATATTATGGAGAAGTGGCTAAGACAAACCTAGAATCTAATACCTCGATTTTTAACAAATATTGGAAAATGAGCAAATAAAATCAAGTAACCTGAAAGGAAGATAGAAAAAATAACCTTGTTCTAGGCTTTAGCAATGGTGAATTATATTGAGAGAAAGATTATGATTGTCGAAAGCAAAGTATTTCAAGGACTATGATGTGAAAATAGTTTGGCCGCCTAAATCAAATCTCTAGTCCTGGATGTCGAAGAGTATCAATATCTCAAGCGGAAACAATCAAATAGATTTCTCACTCTTAGGAGTTGAGAAATAATATATAGAGTGAGGAAGAGAAAGCTTCTCTTGCAAGTCAAACATTTATGACATCTCTATTTTTTTTTTTAATTAAGTTCCTTCTAAAAATTAGAGGTAATAGTTTTGCATTTCTTTAATTATTTTACAATTCACATTCTAAATTTCCAATTTTTACTATAATCCCGTATTGATAATGTATCTTGTTCCCAACGAAATTCACATTACAGAAATGATCATTTATACGGCGACCTTTGGATTATAAATTGTTAAATGAGATTGTACAAAACAAGTCATTGGAATTACATTTAATGGTACATAAGAGGTTTAAGACTTCAAGCGATATTATAATGATATAGTACCATATAATATATTGCGAATAAACAAAGTCACTACATTGTATCGGGCGTTATAGATTTTTTCTATATATTTGTGACATACCAACCAGGGCGAATTCATGCCTGGAGACCCCTAAAATTTGGGATAATGATTATTGATCTCTTGGTAGTAGTTTGAGTATGAGAAAAAAAGTTAGAAGTAGCTTATGTCATATGAATCTGTTACACTATTGTTATCAATAAACTTATTCTCGGTTAGACTACAACTCATAATTTGTTGTATTAAAAACATACATATAAGATATAACTATAGTACAACTACCCCTTATTCTCGATTTTTTTTGAAAATCTATCAATCAACCCCAATCTGGTTACGAGCTACCCTTTCCCCACCATTCTAACAGATGAAGAACAAGCTTCAAAATCAAATAGGCAAACAGTTCATGAATGATTTTCTATTAGGATATATTGAAAGAGATTTTTTGAGCACGGTAGGCAATGAGTGTATTTTACTACATTTTTAAAATATGAAAACACGTCGTGATTTTTTGTCATAACTTATAGGGTAATGTCTATTTTTATCCAAACATTTTTTTTCAGATTCTTTTATATTATCCAAACCTTTTAAAATGTTTTTAATTAGCCAAATCTTTCGCAATGGATCAAAATATTAGTCATTTTTACGTTATTGTTAATAATTTTGCAACTCTTTTCTTAGTTAAAATACTAAAATTTTGGAATATTGACATTCATGTGTCTCTTCCAAGTGAGCATCATGTTGCCAAGTCAATATTACTAACAAAATTGCTAACTGAAAGTTAATATTTGGCTAATTCTTAGTATTTCGATAGATTTGCCTAATAAAAAAGAATTCGAAAAAGATTTAGCTAATAAATAGTCAGTACCATAGTAAAATATTTTCTTATTTAAGAATATTTTAATTATTTTTAGGGGATATCCCTATATAAATTTCCTAGATCCGCCACTAATACCAACCTTGCCGACATTATGTAGTTTTTGTGGTTCAACGGCCAGAATGATACAGTACCACAAACCATGGCTACAATGTTACTGAGTCCATCTCCATCCTCGTGTTACCATTTCATGCATACTTTCAAACGAATTATATAATCCTCGTGTTAATCCTAGCCTTTGCTTAGCCAAAACGAGCACAGAAAGCATTTCCCAGGAGGAAGCTACCACAAAATGTAATTAATTCAAGTATTCAACCGTGTTCAATCATTCTCCATCAGAAGCAAAGAATTGCGCCAGTTGGGCATCGACCCATCTATCTGTACAAATGAAAGGAATCTCAACATAGCATCCCAGAAAACCTGGTCACGAAAGACTAAATGTACACACAATGCAGAACCAGGTCTATAAAAACACACACTTTAACGGCTTTTCCCTCAAAACAATTCAGAGCCAGCCAGCCAGCCAGCAGAACGTGGGACAAGAGATGAAGCTCCTGTTCAATTTCCCTTGCTGTTCATGTTTCTGCTTCCTCAAGGCCAAGAAAAGAAAGCACGGCAATAAGGAGAACAAGGGAAGGGAAGAGTGACTTGACTTGACTGCACGACGATGCAACTCCGCCTCGCCTAGGGAGTAGGGAGGCATTGCCAGTCAGCTTCATCTTTTCTTCTATGTTCTTTCCGCGTCAATGTAGCAGTAATCCATCATTGTAACCGTCTCTTCCGATTCAATCAAAATGTAATCCTGAGTACAAGCGTCCATTCTGACTGAGAACAGTCCGGTCACCATAAGGCGCTAAACTGTTAGTGTGCTTTGCTTTACTCGTCTTTTCCATCCTTTGGCACAAGGTCCAAATCTTGCATTTGGTGTTCGATAGAGACTAGACCAGTCTGAGAGAGAAACCTGAAGAGAATGGGAAAACCAAGAACACTGCATTTTCTCAGGAACCATACAGAAAGCTTACAAAGCCAAAGGTACAATATAATCAATATGATGCTTCCTCAATGAATCAATTCCATGGGGAAAAAGACGGAAACAATTCAAGATTGATCCACCATGCTCGCTATTGAATCCTGATCGAGATTCTGTGTTCTATACTTCTACTGCTCTGATTAGCCATATGAATTCAGTTGAGATGCCCGAATCATGCCATGTTTAGATGAGTAATTAGTTCATGCAATCTAGAGAAAAGCCTCAACTTGCAGCTAAAACATATCATGGGCAAAACTCGAATTACTGGAAATGAATGATCTCAAACATGTCAAGTTTCCATGGGAATGCGATCGTCAATCAATTACTCGGAAATCAAACTACCTAGCAAACCCTAGCTCATAATTCCCACAGCCTAATCAGTAGACAGTAGTTCAACAAAGCAGATTCAAAACTTAACCGACTAACAAAAAATCCGAATTCTCCAATTCGAAGGGATTACTTTACCAGCTTAGAAGAAAGAAGAGCGTAGCCGTGATTAGAACGAGGAACCCAACGTGAAGCACCAAAGCCGAGTCGCTCGAAGAGAAAGCTAGGCCGAGCATCACAGCGAGACAAACACCCAGTAACACGAACGCCGATTTCAGGGTATTCCATGTAGGCGCCTGTAAAATTTCAAACACCCCCAACATAAACACAGACCTCAGCTGAATCAATTATGGAGTTTTCCTGCTAGGTAAAGAAACCAGAGAGGAAACAAAAAAGCGATACTTACGTTAACTCCAGGAGCGAGAGCGCCCAGTAAGACTGCCTCCGCCGGCGATACGCCCGTTTTCCGGTTCTCCATTAGAGGGATACAGCTAGATCTGCGATCTCAATCTTCCGATTTAAACGGGAAGAAGAAGAAGAAGAAGAAGAAGAAGAAGAAGAAGAAGACGACGAGGAGAGATTGGGGAAACACAGGACAGAAAGATCAGAAATTTTGGGCGATGACTGATGAAGGGAATTTTTGGGCTTCACACTTCAGGCCTCAGGGCAGGCCCAACTCTTCTTGAACCATAAATTTAACTTTTTAATTGAGTTAAATAAATTTACTCACTAATCACTATCTCAATGAACGGAATGAAATGACAGTCACGACTCACATGGCTCAAGAAGGCAAATCCCAACATGAACGGAAAGAAGACATTCTTCTACTTCTACGTTCTTCAGTTTTCTGAAGCTCTTCCTCCATAACATATACTGATGATATACATAGATACATACATGAATACGTACGTACATAATCTTTCAGTTACCAACTAACAACTAAGACCTCATTGACACAAATTTACTCGAATTCAGGTGAAGTATTTAGCTCTAGCTACCCATGAACGAGGGTCCTCTAAAGTTTGAATCTTTATGGTGGATCAGCCACTCTTTCTCCTTAAGATACTGTAACAGTGGTTCCGGTTCATTCAACGAAGGACTCTCCCCGTACAACCCCTGCCTGCTTGGTAAGTAACCATGAACTTGAGGGAACCCCATCTGCATCATCAATGGCGGGTGGTCATAAACCAATGGCGGTGGAATCCCCCATTGCTGGTCAGGACTAACGTGACTAGCATAACTCGGGGGCTGCCACATATGATCATTGGCCCTAGGGTTGTTCTCCCTGTATTGCCTCAGCCACTCGGCAGAAGTCATTCTACGCTGTTGTTGTGGTGGTGGGTATGTGAATCCAGGAGGATAGTAAGTGTAATCATAAGGAGGACCATTCCAATTCGAGAAGCCAGCTGATGTTTGCTGATGATCCGAGAAATGAGGCGGTGGCAGCATTGGAATGTTACCATTTCTAAGCCAGGTGGCACCATCATCATCAGGCAGAAATGGTGCTGAAGGAAGTGGGGATGAGTAAGGCGAATGGCCTGAGATGGTGGCAGTATTTTCCTCTGGTTCACTGAGAGAGAGCTCGCGCAATGATGAAGATGCTGCAACTGCTTCTTCAATGGGTGCTAAAGTTTGCTTGACAGTTTTCCCTCTTGCTTTCTCGTGGCTGAACGAGGAAGGTGAGACCCAAGCATTGAGTGAGGGGGGACCTGCTGCAATGGTGGAGCCAAACGAAGGGGAGATGGAAGGCTCTGAAAACATGCTGGTAAGTGTGTCATTCATAGGCTGCTGGAAGTTGTTGTTTCGCCTGAAATTGGTGAGGTCTGAATGGAAAGGCAACCCATTGTTGTTGTTATCACCTTGTGCCTGATATTGTGCCATCAGTAGGGAAGTTGCACGTCTCAAACACTCATCAGCAGCTACTGCCTGGTTCCCAGCTTCCCTTGAAGGCGACATGGGATCTTCGAAACTGTCGCTCGAGCTCTTGTATATAGGTTCAGAGTTATGTCTAGTGAGAGGCTTGAAAAGAATGACTTCTTCCTCATCTAAAAAGCCAGCCGCAGATTTCCCATTTGCCCTATGGTTACTTGATTTCTCATCCGTCACAGCTGTGCCATTGTCTGTGCTAGCAACTGATGCTATACCTTCTTCTGCATCAATTGTCTGCCTACAAGAGTCATAGGTGAACCAGTTCTGGTCACCATTAGATCTCTCAGAAATCTTCTTGGCAGCATTGATTATTCTACAAGCACGGATTCGTTTCCCACTCTCAAAACTGTCTGCCGGGCCTTGATGATGAGTTGAGAAAAAATCTAATGCAGCACAAGAAGGAGCTATAGGCGCAAACCCTCTCAACTCTTGGTCTTCCCACAGAGGACGATTGAATTCACACTCATCACCTTCATTCTTTTCAGCATCCAGCTTCTTCAGTAGCTCGTGCAAAGAGCTGAAGAAGTAAGATATGGCTATGGTCACAGTGGTCCTATCATCCGAGCCATATTTTTCAACGTCCCCAAAGGTGGTTTCTAACCACTCGATAAAAATGAGTACAGCTGGTGACAGGGTGCACGAGGATGACGGCGTGGCCTTCGAGCATCTGTCCACGAGGCGTCCCATTATCATGAATGCAGAAGTCAATGCCCATTGCATTGACTCCTTAACTTCTTCCTTTCTGTTTTTGAGATGCTCAATCACAAAGATGAGTATGCACACGACTTGAAGTGTTCGGAAAGGTTCCTTTCTAGTTGAATCCATATAGTGATAGGATTCCATGGTAGCTTTCAGCTTAGTATCATCTAACGAGAGTAATGTTTCCAGCTCCTTGATGGTAGATGCAAAAGTACTAGGAAACTCCTCCAAACTACCTCAGAAATATGTACACATGGATTTAGAAATTTGACTGTATGCAGATTGATTAGGAAACACCAATTTGTAGGAATATTCCAATCAATAAGTACCTGGAATCGATAAGGAAGAAGCTTATGACTCTAATAATAAGAACCCACAAATTCGCTCCATTACTGGATTCCTCCTCTTGTTCTTTCATGACTTTGCAATCTGATGTCATTTGGCCACTAGATGCTTGTTTCAAGAAATCAAAATCTGCATCACTAGAAATGGAAGCTAATGGAGATGACCTGTTCTGCAAATGAACAAATAGAGCAGGCGCCAATAAGCAGGCATTCTCTTGGAAGGAATATCAACCATGAATGATGAAGGAAATCTATGGCTCTTACTTCTTCACATAGTAAGAGAAGGTTATTCCATGCATCAGGGAAAGGTTCTTTAACAGCTAAGCTCCTTATGCAATGGTACAAAGCTAGGAACTCATCTCCAACATATGTAGCCAACACTGCCAACTATAGGAACCAGGAAAAACCAACCGGTTTAGCTCAAGTTATACATATATCATATGTTGAACAACCAAGAAAAAAAATTACTTTTATCAAGTACCTGATTGTGAGGGTTGCCATTGAAAGGCCAAACCATTGTAGCTTGCAAGTATTGGCTAGCTGGAACGGACCAGTTCGGTTGACCAGATTTCTTGCATTGCTGTTCTTTGTATCTAGCAAGATCCCCTAGACAAACTAGAAACCGATGCCACAAGAACTGAAGCTTCTTGTCCTGCATTCCACCATTTCTACTACCTAAAGTAAAGCTCTCCTGGAGGCCATAGTTTTTCCTAAGGTTAAGAATCAAATTCTGGTAATATAAACTTGCTACCGATAGAAATGACTTGAACCCATCAACAGATTCAGCAGTAGGTTCTCCATTATCAGGAATTCGTCTCAATCTCTTGCGAAACTCGTCAATAAGGCGGTAGTGGAGCTTCCATAGAGAGTACTCAACATCTTGAAGCTCTTCCAGCTTGTGATCACCAAGAACAAGAAGCTTCTCATAACAAGAACATATTTTTTTATACTGGAGTTGAACCTCGGAATGCCATAAAACCTTGGATGAGTGGATCATCCCCAGAAACTGTGTCTCCAAATCAGCAACCTTCAGACGAAAATTAACCAACCAAATTTTGAGAAACGATAAAGATCATAAGCAAATTGCTGAAAACAACAGGTGAAGTAAAGAAATGAGATTCATTTTCACCTCTTTGAGAAGAGGCGATTTTTCCACATGATGATTCTTAGAGTTAGAGGACTCCATGATTGGCACGTTTGAGCTTACACCGATCTGCTATCAGTTGAATAATGACATGGAAAGCAACCACCAATCAACTACAGAAGGAAAAAAAAGAGTATAATGGTCCATACCCCCAACAAAAACAAAACCCCGCAATTCAACTGTTATCAACTCTACAGGACAGACAGATATGAGAGAGCTACAGAGGAGAAGAAGAGAACCCATATGAGACAAGAGCAGGGGAAAATCAGAGAACCCACCACAAAATTCCCCCCAATAAACAAGTAAAACGAAGCCATGGAAGGAATTCGGAATCGACAAGTAAGGAAAACCAAAACCCATGCATGAAAACTGGAACAGAGTAGAAAAGTGGGTACCTTCAAGAAGCAGCTGAGCTGAAGCAGAGGGTTAGCAAGTGGGAAGCACCATGGAGGGAGGGAAAGCAGGAATTGGGAGTTGTTGAGGCCAAACGGAAATGGACAAGAAGGTATGAAGAAGGACGAGAAAGAGGGGCGCGGGGATTGGAAGAAGCAAATCTGTGTGTAAGCACGGGCGAGTACTCAAAATGAAAGCTGTGAAACGGACAAGACATACCATCACAATAAGGTGGCTGGTTATGATTATGAGAGACTCGTTTCGCTGCACTATCAATTTCTAGCCTTTTGTAATTTGGGCTTTATGATATTTATTGGCCATTATTTCTCCATTGATAGATAGCGGGGAAAGAAAGAGACCGATTGATTCGTACTAGTATTTCTTTTGGTTTTTACAAATCCATAGTTGCATACTATTAGTAAAAATTTTGTTATACGAATTTAATGTTGTCTTGTTAATGTAGAGATCATTTGTTGAAAACTCATCAAAATTAGACATTTAAATGACAAAAAAAAATGGAGAGACGATATCGAGAATCTAAATTCAATTCATACGAAAATCTCATTTTACTTGATACTTGACAACTATGCTATTTGATTGTTATGTCGATAAGAAGTGATAATGACATTCAATTGAGCAAGATATATTTTTAATGAAAAAAACAAATTATCATATGAATCTCTAACATACATGGTTGTTTCTAGTGCAAGCAAGTGATTTAGCAAACACAAAACTCATATAATGAAGTCGGCGCATTGAGAAGTCATGGTATTTAACTTTCAATTTGGTCATCCTAGTTTCAAAGTGTATATGTAATCATTTCCTCGTTCGTTGAGACACCCATAAAAGATTGTTACAAATGTATTATGTGAAATGTATTATGTGAACGCTAATTATATCTGTATCATTAATATGTAATCTTAATTAAAAGCAAAAGAGACATGGTGCCTTTCTTGAACACAATTCACGCATAAGAAGGAATAAATTACTATATTAGAATATGGGTAAAGGGTAATCATTGTCGCCACAATTAATCTATGGGATTAAACGTTATTAAATGATGCAGGATCCCTTGTAATCCAAGCTAAGCTAAATTCCTATTCTTTTAATTTGGCCTTTTCCCAAAACTTGATTTGGCAACAACCAAAGCCATTTTAGAGCAAGTTGATATTTGACTAAGAGGGGTGGGGAATAATAATCACATTTGCATTAGTAAGGCATTGGTAGGTTCTTTTGCACTTTGATTGAGATGCCTTATTTCCCACCACTATCAACAAGCTAACTAATCAAACCTTTCTAGACGTTATTTTGTTATGGCTAAAACCAGCTAGTTCAAAAGCAATACTTCTAGGTCGCATTTATTAGATTTATATATCAGATTGAGTCAAAATAGTGAGCTCAATTTATAATAAATGAAATAACACTATTAAGTAAGGTATTTGTATTGATGATCAATTCGTATGTATTGGTGCCATATGATTGTCTAATAGTGTTTAGTGTCTACTACCATTCCTGCTTTTTCATTTAATGTATCCCCTTTAGTTGTAGATGTGATCGTAAATTATTATATTTGTTTAAAAAGATTAGGAAGCACCAATAAAATGTAACAGAAAAATGATAAATTCCGACTCTAGTTATTCTCATTTTTACCCTTTAGATTTTGGTTCGGTCTACTCCATGTTCATACCTTCTGAAAAATGAAAACCCAAATTGTATAATGGAGCCTATCAAAGACTGGTTTGACCCAAATGATTAATAATATAAAGAGGGTCAAATATAATTTTGAAGTGGATGTTTTGATTAATAGTAAGGGTTTAAGGGGGTGACATGTGTGGGAAGTGGATTGATGTGGGTGGTTGGGAAGAAGAGAAGAAGTCACATGGTCAACTATTGACTAATTAGCAACAAATGTTTATGTGCTTAACTAATTAGGTTTTATTGTACATAGCAACAACATATATTAACATAATGTTGAAATGTGGGGATCCGTAATGGACCTACTTCAACCAATATTATCCAACTCTAACTACTCAATTATTGTGTTTCATTATAGCATATACAATTCTCACGTATAGCTAATAGCTAGGGTTGGGGAATTGGGTTTGGTTTTTCGGTATTCTAGAATAGGCGAATAAATTCCTTTACTTAGAAGTTAGAACCGTATTTGAGAGTTTTCTATCCCATATCAACATATTTTATTATTTAGAAGGAATTTCACTTACTTGTTTTTTTTTTTTACAAACAGTTATGGGGTTTGCTATGACTTTTTACTATTGTCCGACCATACCAATAATAATTTTATCAGTTTTGAATTTTTTTTGTCTTAAAACAATATGTATGTACGTTTTAATTAAAAAAACCGATAATAAATCAAAGTCAAACCCGAATCTTGCTCTAACCGAAACTATTACAAAGGGTGTAGGGGTATTGATTTTGGGGGGGAAAATCGATTTTTACTTTTTTTTAATTTTAATGGTTTCGGTTCGGTTAACCGGTGGGACAACCCTGCATAATTCTAATAATTCTAGAACATGAGTTCAATCCTAACCCTTGCCATAAAACAATAACTAAGCATCATTATAATCAAATTTTCAAAACTCAACCCTCTGCTGGACAAGCCTTAGTTGGAGTTGTCACATCCATAGTAGTAGTAGTAGTAGTAATTGTAACTTGTACGTGTGAGGTTAGTGGACCGTTAATCAGCCACTAATGGAAGGCCGGAGTTGGATGGAATAAGAAGTCAAGCGAACGACAGGTGTGTTATTATGTGGGCCTTTGGTGATCACCGGAGCCCATGTCCAGTTATTGCTTGACGTTGAATTCGTTCTTTTTTCTGTGGTGGGCCGGCTTCATGGATCTTATCAGGGATTTTTCCTGATTGGAAGATTTTAGCCTTGTCTCCACCCTAGCTAGGATGATGACACGCGTCCGGCGGCTTACGTGGAGGGATCGCTATCACTCTCAACGTTGCGGAGATCTTGGGTGAGGGTGAGCGCATGATGATTTCAGGCTTACGCTCTGTTTTGATTTGAATGTTTCTGGATGAGCGCATGATGTTAAAAGTTCCTCACTTTCTTATATAATTTGTTAAAACTAACATATAAACTTATTGTTGTCTGATTGGACCATACTACCTGCTAAACCGATTACAACCCAATTTGACAACTTTACCAATCATCATCCATATTTGGATCTCCCCGTATTCTATATACTCTTCAACGGAAAATAAACCAAATTAAAACTTAAACATAACCCAATGGTTGAGCATGACAAACGGCAATCCAATGGTAACTAATCGACGACCTAACTAATCAACTATCAAAACACAAAAAAAAACCTAAATTAGCAACCACACAGAAAACAAATCTCCAACATTCAATCCCCAAAAATAACTTCTTATATAATCCACAATGTCCACATTCCCACAATGTCTCTTCCTTTTCTCCTTTCATCAAACTCATTTCACCCTCTCCCTCTTTGTGGATCAGGAAGGGTCAAGGGCCTACCCATACACCCTTCTCCCTTCCTCTCTTTTTCACCTCTAACATCATGAACACCATAAATGTATGGATGATCCTCCTCGTCCTGGCCGTCGCCACAACAGCAGCCGAATCGATGTCGCCATCGCCGTCAGGTGGTCTGATATCCTCCAATGATACAGGAATGTCGTTGGCCACATGTGAAGGGATGGATGGGCACTGCTTCGAAGTGGATGCGGACTTCATGATGGATATGGATTCCCCGAGCCAAACCAGGTTGTTGTGGCAGATGGGGCCGGGGAGGCAGAGGTACATTACGTACCAAGCACTCAGGGCAAACAGTATCCCATGCGGCTGGCGTGGAAACTCCTACTACGATTGCGATGCTCACAAGAGGGTCAATCCTTATCGCAGGGGTTGCACTGCTGCAACTCGTTGCTTCAGATACACTCATTGAATGAGCAATCGTGTGGGATGATCCGATCGTGCGTACAATGTTTACTAATTCGTGTTGTATTGGTAATTGAAGGGTCGGTAAAGTACAAGAGAGGGTTAGTACTTGAGGGAGAGAGGATGGAAATGTAATGGAAGGAAAAAGGAAGGGACCAAAGGGGAACAGAGAAATGATGTTTGTTTGTAAATTAACTCGTCAATATAGTCCTCTGGATTTATTGCAATATATGTAATCGTTAATCCCATAAGCGTTAATCTCATAACTTCGAATAACTCTAACTCTTATGCATCTTGTGGTGAATTTTTTGGATGGATTGTGCTTTTTCTCTAATTCCATTCATCTAGCTAGTTGATTCGCTATATGAAATAATATTTATTCTATATATAGTTGTGGTCTTGTGGATAAGAATTTTGCTTTTATTTGGATAGCTGATAAGTTCTAGTCGTATAATAATTTTTTTTGTATACCACTGTAATTGGATAATAGAAGTTTTAAATTCTATTTTCTCTCAACAACACAAATTATTAAGATGAGCAGACTCTTGATATTGTATCTGAACATCAAGCGGTGTACAGGTTTATACAAAATTTAAGTCAAACGAGTTGGCTATTATTTGATGGAGCATGTAAGGAAATTGCATAAGATTTATTATGCAATATCTCTCAACGGTGCAAATTATTAAGATCAATCAACTCATTGCACAAATCTTGGTAATATTTGATATTAACATCTAACTAGTACATAAATACATTACAAATACATACCATCGACTTTTTCTAACAACTTGAATTGCTAGAATTAAAGTCCATATATACTTATAGTACAAAACCGCAAAGAAGGGGAAAAGGCATTGCCTTCTCGTTTTCTGCCTAAGCATGAAATAAAGGGATTAAAAAGCATTTGTTGCATGTTACCATCCATTCTATCTAGGGATGGCAATTTTGACCTGACCCGTTTTATCCGACCTGTTTGACCTGTTTTGGGGCGGGTCCGACCCGCCCCGTAGGTGGGGCGGGGCGGGCATGGGTACTCTCATAGACCCGACCTGCCCTGACCCGCCCCATTCTCGACCCGTTCTTGCCTAAATTACACTTAATTTTAGTCAAATTACTTAGGATTTTCCTTTTACTAAATCAAATTTTAGCTGCAATAAAGTTTTAAATTAGTGAAAACCTCAATTTCTCCAATAATTTAACTATATTTATCATAATATTGTTTGTTTCCATGGTCTTATAATAAAAATAACGAACATTTCTAATATTTTTCATATAAATTGCTTACCCATTGGGTCGACCTGCCCCGACCCGTGACCCGTGATAAATTACCCGACCTGCCACGGGGCGGGTCTGGATACCAAGAAACCCGCCCCGGACCTGCCCATTGCCATTCCTAATTCTATCGTTGCCCTCCTTCACCACTCTCGTCATAGAACGTATCAAAACCAGCAAAATAGCAAAATGAATGGGGTTTCATCCAATTCTAGCTATAGGCTAATAACATCGCACGGTTCTCGAAATCAAAGCCTCTTTTTTTCTTCCATACCTAACGAAGACAATTCAAATGCCATCCAAAAAAGATGCCCAAACTTTGCCTCAACATTGTGACATTCAGTACACAGAATCATATCAGGTTAATTATTCTAATGGTCACTGAATTATTAAGTCAATAACATATCAATCATTGACTTTTGACATTCAAACCAACGTCGACAAATTTGCTCGTGAATTTTGATTTTGGGATACTAACATGAGAAATTATATCATCCATCTTCATCAAATCTACATCCAAATTAGCTAGCAACTCAATCAGAATTAATATGAAGGAAAACGGTATTTTTCAAACCTAATAAACCAATATGGACGACCCACTGTTACGTGTGCCCTAGTTAAAGCAAACTCGTTACTTGACCAAACTCTAACCCATATTTCTTGAACCAATCCAATTCACTTATCCCCGAATGTGACAGACAATTAGATCGACCGTCCATTTGAGCACCTTTGTATCGTTAAACTTTTTGCGAACTGACATACTAGTCCAGATAAAATTAAATGAAAATGAATGCAACCAAAGCCACCGCTGTACATAATTAGTTCAAATTTAGCCCCACTAAAAAAAACCAATGACCCACTTGTTAGTAACCCAAAACCTAGTGACCCTTTTTAGCCTATTAACCCAACCGTACACATTACCAACCCCTATATATATATATATATATATATATATATATATATCCATTCATCAACAACTCAAAACTCCATCACTCATCATCACATTCACAAACACAAACCCACAATAATGGCTTCCCACAACCATTACCGCCTCCTCATCGCCTCCATTCTCGTCGCCTTAGCCACAACCATGGCAGCGGCCGACCACGAATATTCATCACCACCCACAAGTACCGCTCACCACCACCATCATGTCGGCTGCACTTCTCCGGTCATCCACAACAACAACGTCACGGAGACGACAAGGAAGCCACGGCAGAGAGACAGGTACATCAGCTACGAAGCCCTGAGAGGCAACAACGTTACACGCTGCGTGAAAGCCGACGATTCCCACCACAAGAAGGATCATGTCGACGATCATGGCTGCAGCAGTACTACTTCTCCGAGCGACAACATCAAGAAGGCAAGGAAGATACAACAGGGAGACAGCTCGTTTAGCCGCGAAGTCATGAAGGGAAACAACAAACTCTGTGGGTGGCAGGGCAATTCCTACGTCTGTACCTACCGCAAGAAGGCTAACAATTAGAGCCGTGGTTAATGAATAAGAGGGGAAGTTGAATAAAAGGATGATGTGTGGAGTTGAGGGTGTAATAATGGAGTTGGGGATGTAATCATTTCCTCTACTGATGGGAGTTATGAATCTCTAATGATAAGTGTGAGTTAAACTGCTGATTAATACTAATGATTCTCTTTTCATCATCTACATAACCCAGCTATCATGGGATTAAAGAATCAGTCAGAATTGCCCTGTTTTATTTTATCACTGTTTTCCTAACCAGTGAATGGACCATCCACCATCCCAGCTGAGTATGGTGTCTCAGAGTGATAGGAAACCAAATTAATGAGCTACTTCATTTCCCTAACCAACAAGAAACAGAAACTACATTCCAGGAACATAGCCTAAATGAACTGGGACAAGTATAGATATGATAATAAGATCTTAGCACAGCAGTTGTCTTGCATATGATCTACAAGTAAGATATGAACTATTTATGCTGCTGAGTTCAAAGTCAGGTTTTAGAAGTAAGTTACATTGATCCTCAATCAGCTTAGTAAGTCTCACCTTCTCCTCTACAAAAACTTTACTCACTACCTCCCTTTCAGTTCTAAGATCAGCCAACTCCTTCTCTCCCTGCATCAATAACTCACAAATGTAAGAAACAATGCTGAAAAACAAGCCCAAAGACACCAAGAGTCCTATGAAATGCTCAAGCTTTGCAAGAGTTCCCTCAGTGGATGACAATTTCAGAAACAGAGATCATTGAGTCGTAGCGAGAAGAACTTTTTCCATGTATGCGATGCAATCTGCACTAGCTAGCCACAGACACAAAAAGTTAATAGATACACGCACTATAGCTAGTTCGATGTGACAAATACATGTCTCAACGATTCAAAAAGAAACGATCATTTCGCGATCGACAGGCTCAATCTTTCTCTGTAAACATGTAATCGCCCCGGCGGCTTGTCCACCAGAACTCTGTATTTGTGATTGACAGTATCATACAGCACGAGCTGGTCATCGAGGTCGGTCATAATCCGATCATCCTTCCACAATCCACGCACAACGAGCGTAGTAGGGAAATGCCGTCCAGTTGAATGTTGCTTGATCCAGCACCACGCCCCACCACCGTCGTCATCCCTACTCAGCAACCACATGTCATCAGCCGAATCCATGTACAACGGAATCAAAGCCACCGAATCACCACCACCACGAGAGGTTCCGCCGAGGCTACCGAGCCCAGAGAGCGGGCAGTCTATCCTGTGGAGAATGTCGTTGCTCATATCAAATGCCATCACATAACTGTCACCAGATTTCCAGTCGTTCGAAAAGAGCCAGTAGAAGAACCCGTTGGAGTGAAGATGACAATCGAACGCCGGGGTGAATGTTCCCACTACTCCACAGGAGTGGCTTCCTGGTGCCAACTTTCTCCAAAGGTTGCTCCGCCATGTATACACGAAAACTGTAGTTGGAGGGTCGCGGTGAGAACGAGCACCGCTGCGAATCACGACGACTTTGACATCATCGGCAGCTAAATCGAGCCCGACTCCACAGTGGTCAGGGAAATCGGATCGTCGTTCCTTGAGGCCAGGGCTAGGGTTGGGAAGAAGTCGGATCTGGCCAGTCGCCAGGTTCAAAAGCCGGTAATTGGGATTATGGTGTCGATATGGGCTTCCGAGGAGAATCAGACCATTGCCTGCACCACAGATGGCTTCATCGAGCAATTGGTCGTCCCAATCGATCGGTCTTGGAGAATCGTCGACGTTGTCGTCGGGGTGGAGCAAGACCGATTTCGGGACTTCACCGCCGCCGCCGCCGTTACCTAAATCACGGTAGGTGCACAAGAGGGAGGTCCTGGTGTAGTTTCTGAGGTGCGTAGATACGAGGTGTGGGTTGGACGGAACCATGGCGTCCCAGTTCGTGCAAACGGATTTGAAACGGAATAGGGTTTTCGCGGGTAGCTTGGACAGAATGCCCATCACAGCATCGGAAGGAAGATAAGGACCAGATTCTAGTACTACTTCGTTGGATGAATTGGGTACCTGGTGGAGCTCATCGATTCGGCGGTTGCCGCCGGTGGCGGTGGAATCCTCCTGCCCGCCGGCGGAGCTCATATTGCAAGAACAAAGATGTAGTCAGGTCGATTGGTCCAGGCGGCCACTCGAAATCGAAAGGGTTTTCGTTTCTCTCTGTTTCGTGGAAAAAAGCAATGATAATTGATATGTATATATAGGTCATACTACCGTCATAGTCTAACTTTGGGCTAAAGCCGGTTTCATAAGACGATAGGGGAGAGTATGGGCCATAGGAACGATAATAGCTTTGGGCTGTAGCCCATTCACGCTACTTTCTGTGTCCAAAATAATAAGATGGAATATTTGTATGATTTCCTCGGGTCATTTACGATAGGAATAAGCAGTACAGATTCAGGTTATTCATCTGGTCACGAACAGGTCGGACCCTATTCACCCGTGTGCTACTCTCCTTGCAGCTATTAGGCACAGGCTCACTCAGGATTGGGTGGTGAATTTAGTTCATACCTACCGGGAGGAGAATAGAGTCGCAGACTGGCTTTCGAAGCACAATCTCGTCTATCCCTATAGTAGATATGAATTAGAGACACTACCTGTTGGATTACACTCTCTTCTCCAAGACGACATCAGAGGTGCAACGATTGATAGAAACATAGTTCATCCCCCTCCCGCCGATTCAGCGTAACTCTTCCCCTCTCCCCTGTATTGTTTCATTTCTTCGGCCTAGTGCCTCCCTTAATCCATAATCCAAAAAAGCGGTACAGAAGAAGCACAACTGTCTGTTTGTTTACGGGTAAATTGCTGAAAGCTACACCAAGAATAGACCAAAATTTATGATGGATAACTCTCAAAATTAGTGAACAATAGAATGCAAAATAATTAACCAAAATTTGTGATAAATATTCTTCAAAATCGGTGAAAAGTAAATATGTGATGGATAGCATTTAATTGGTTAATAGTAGCATTAAACAAAACAGGCAAAATTTGTGATGGATAGCCTAAAAAATCGGCTAAAAATAGCATTCCCAAAAGTTGGCCAAAATCTGTGATGAACCTTCAAAATTGGTGAAAAATTAAATGAAAATTTTTTTGGCAAAAATTTGTGATAGATAGCCTTCAAAATCAGTGGATCATAACATTTTTAAAAAAAATATGCTAAAATTTGTGATGGATAGCTTTCAAAATATGTGAAAAATAACATTCCAAATAGTCTATCAAAATCTGTGATGGATAGTTGAAAGATCAGTGAATAATAGCATTTAAAAGAATTGACATAAACATGCAAAAAATTATGTACGAAAACAACATTCTCACACAAACTGCGTTTTCTGCATAAATTTGAAAAATTAGGAGGGGAAATAAACATAGTTGCATGTTACCCTCCATGCCATTTCACTCCCCCTTCACCACTCATGACAAAAACTCATCAAAACCAGCAAATTATGAATGGGGTTTGATCCATTTCTAGCTATATCATGCCATCGGTTCTTGAAATCAAACCCTTTATTCCACTCCTCACAAAGACAATCCACATGCCACCCAACAAAGATGCATCAACTTTGCCTCAACATTCTCAATGTCGGCATTCAATACATACACAATCACATCGGGTTAATTACATTAATGCTCACCACATGTTCAAGTCACTGACAAACCAATCATTGAAAATCCAACAGTAAATTTTGCGATGCCTAATATAAGGAATCATTTTGTCGAACTCCTTCACATTTATGTCCACATTTAGTATGACGGCTCAATTCTAAATCAGCACAATAAGCACATGTTTAGCATAACTTGTACCTCATCTAAACCAAACCTCGTTAATGAATCCAATTACAACCAACATCACTGATGGAAATCACACTAATCGGATCCCTTTCCTCCACACATCTAATAGCTAATCAGAACATTTATCTGATGACTTATTTGTACAATCAATATTCAGTAGTGAGTTCACTCTAATCTAAACAAAACACAAAAAATTGATGAAAATATTGACGGAATGACCATTACATTTAATATATTCCACAATTCACGAAAAATTCGTCGAAAAACCAAAGTTCGATCACTCACTTGTTAGTCACCAAAATTATGGTGATCCCATTTTTTTTCCCCCCATCCAATTGAACCAACTCACACAATATATTAATACCTATATATAAGTCACTCATAAGCGACTCAAAACATTCATCCTCCTCATCACATTCACAAACCCACAAATGGCTTCCCATCATCACCACTTGCTGCTCCTCATCATGTTCATCCTCGTCGCCTTAGCCACAACCCGGGCATCCCTCGTCCCCGAATCATCATCATCAACCATGGATGATCATCTTCAAGCTGATCCTTGGTCGCGCTGCGACAGAGTGGCTAGGTGGAGGAAGAATGTCGATCCCCACTGCAGTACTTCCCCAGGCAACAGCACCAAGAAGATTGCAAGGAAGCTGCAGCAGAGAGATAGGTACATTACCTACCAAGCGCTGAGGGCAAACAGCATACCCTGTGGGTGGAAGGGCAATTCCTACTACGACTGTAGCTATCGTATTCGGGCTAACCCTTACACCCGTGGTTGCACCGAAGCCACCCGTTGCTTCAGGTACACCCATTAGAATCATTGGGGAAGGTTAATTAATGAATAATGATGAATTAATTGATGAGGGCGTGTTAATTAATGATATATCCAACTGGATCAATGGTGGTAAATGGTAATTAATAAGTATGGTGATCATGATGTGACTATTTCCTCTGCTGATGGGCTTTAAATCTCCCAAATTGTGTTGGATGTGTGAGCACTTTACTCTTTACTGTAAAGTGGACGTCAATAAATTACCATGTGGATCAAGACTGCAATTAACGGACCATGTTCACCCGTACGCCTCAATCCTTAGCTCTATTCGCAGGCTTATCGCTCAGGATTGGCTCGTTAACATAATTCTCATTAAATACACTCTCGTCTATCCCTATGAGCTTGTTAACCCAGCTGCTCCTGTGATTTACATCCTTAAAGATGATGAAAGGGGACTTCGTCTCTCGCGCCCTCGGAGTGTTTGTAACCTCTCCCTCTCTTCCTCTGTAACCTCGTTGTTTCTTAGTTCTTGGCGTTTTAACGCCTCCTTGCAATAAATAAATAAAAAGCAAGCTAGCTAGTATCACCTCACTACTTTCACGTCGGATATAAAGCAAGATGAAATGTTGCATTAGGGGAGAAGTCATTTACGTATAATGCACGCCTTTCTCGTGATCAAATCTTAAATTGCACTTCAAGTTCTACATTCTCAAATAAACTACTTTCATTTCGAGATATGCCTATATTTCTGTGATATTGTCCATCGTCGGATTACAAAAAAATGTTGGAAGCCAAGATAAAAAAAAAAAAACAAACAAACATATATAAGCTTCAAATGGAAATTAAGGCTTGTACTAGATTTGGATACTGTTATACCAAAGGAAGTTAAGGCTACAGATCACGGATTCGACCTAAGGCTATTTTTCACCGATGATTAAGTCTATTATGCAACAATTTCTGCGGATTTTTTCCGGGTCCATTTTTTCCGGATTCCAAAAGGGTACCATTACAAATATCCAAGGATTTTTCGAAAGGGCATTTTTCTTATTAGAACTTATTTGGGCCTGAGGCTATTCTTCTCGGATGATTAAGTCTATTAAGAACTTATTTGGGCGAATTTTTTTCCGGTTGCATTTCTGACATATTCCAAAGGGATGTACTATAATAGATTTCGGGTGATTTTTGCAAAATGTCATTTTCCTTGGACTTTTAACTTTGAAGGTTTCAGACCACGGATTCAGTCTGAGAATATTCTCCACCGATGAAGAAGTAGATTGATCTCCGATTTGGGCGGATTTTTTTTCGGATGGCACTTTTGTAAATTTTTGGACGATTTTTTCTAAAGTCAGTTTTTCTTGAATTTTGATGGATAGCCTTAAAAATCAGTGAACAATAGCATTCATTAAAATTGCCTAAAATCGGTGATGTATAGCCTTCAAAATTGGTGAAAAATAACATTCTAAAAAAACGACCAAAATATGTGATGGATAGCCTTCTAAGTTGGTGAACAAGAGCATTCAGTAAAATTGACCAAAATTTGTGGTGGATAGCCTTCAAAATCGGTGAATGATAGCATCAAAAAGAATTTACTAAAATGTGTGATGGATGTCTTCAAAATTGGTGAAAAGTAGCATTCCCAAAAATCGGCCAAAATCTGTTATGGATAGTCTTCAAATATCGGTAGAAATTAGCAATCCGAAAAATCGATCAAAATATGTGATGAATAGCCTTCAATATTGGTAAAAATTAGCAATCCGAAAAATCGGCTAAAATCTATGATGGGTAGCTTTCAAAATTGGCGAATAACATCAATCAAAAGAAACAACTAAAATATGTGATAGATGGCTTTCAAAATCGGTGAATAATAGCTTTCAAAAGAATTGGCCAAAACTGTAATGGATAGCCTTCAAAATCCGGAAAAAATAGCATTCCCAAAAAGTGACTATAATATGTGATGAATTGACTTCAAAATCGGTGAATAACAGCATTGAAAAGAAACAACCAAAGTCTGTAACAACATGCAAAATTGGTGAATAATAGAGTTCAAAAGAATCGTCTAAAATATGTGATTAATAGCCTTCATAATCGGTGAAAAGTAGCAATTCAAAAAATCGGTCAAAATCTCTGATGGATAACTTTCAAAATTGGTGAAAAAATAGCATTCAAAACAGTATCACTTCACTACTTTTATGTCGGATATATAACAAGAAGAAATGTTACATCAGGAGAAGAAATCTGTCACGTACCCTGCATTCTTAAATCACACCTCAAGTCTTACATACTTGAAATGAAACAACCTTTTACTTGACTTTTATTTCAAGATACACTTGCATTTTCGTGATATTGCCTATCGTCGAATTACCACAAACGTTGAGAGCCACGATATATAAAAAATCAAACATATATATAAGCTTGCAGTGAAAGAACTGTAGGCATGGATTACAACACCAGTTTTGTGCTACTATTATACCAAAGCAAAGATGGGACTCTGGGGAGAGAAGGTAGTTGTAGCTATAAGTGATTAGTTACTGTTATACTCTGAATGAACTATGTTAACATAGTGAGATGTACCATTTTTTGGTTTCGAAATTATAGTGAGATATATTCTTTTAAATCAAGTTTGAATTACGATACTATGACAATATCTTTCCGAATCATCTTTTGAAAAAGGGCTTTAAGCCCAAAAGTTATCATTGTTAATGAGACTATGAACATGACCTATTCTATATCCCTTCGTTCCGGAGAATGCATGCAATATTATGCAACAGGGACATAGAAAGAAAAGAAAAGAAAACCCTTTCGATCGAGTCTCCGCCGCGCTGTCGCTCTCAAATTCTTGGCAACATGAGCTCCGATTCCACCCGCCGCCATCAGCCGCCGAATCGATGAGCTCCAGCACCAGGCTCGTAGTTGCGCATGGATGGTAGAATGATCATCAAATTATCGTTTGCGTGGAAGGTTCAGAAGGGGATCAGGAACTCTTGTTATATGATACTGTCATTGGGAAAGGCAAAATTCTGATGAAAAGGTGGCCAAGATTCTTACAAGTTTACAGAGAAAGTTCGAGTCTGCAGATCACAAACTGCTATCGTAACTAAGAAGGCCGAGAAGGTAGTATGCACGGGCTTTAGCCCAACCATATTAACGTTACTTTGATAACAGGCCCAAATCTTCCTGAATCGTCTTATGAAAGGGCTTTAAGCCCAATTACCATAGGAATTTCTGACCTAGTATTATGTCCCTGTATTCGGCGAATGCATGCAACAGAAAAAAGAAGAAAAAATCCGGGATCTGAAACCCTTACGAGCGTCCGCCGCTCTGGAAATTCTTTGCAGCATGAGTTTCGTCTCCGACGAGGATATCACCACCGGCGGCAACCGCCAAATCCAGCTCCAACACCAGGTACCCAATCCCTCCAACGAATTAGTACTAGAACCGGGACGTTATCTGCCTTCCGATACTGTGACCGAAATTCTGTCCCGGCTGCCCGTGAAAACCCTATTCCGCTTCAGATCCGCCTGCACGAACTGGAACGCCAATATTACGACCAGTCGACACCTCGCGTCCATGCACCAAAGAAACTACACCAAGGCCTCCCTCTTGCTCACCTACAATGACCTACGTCACGACACGTCATCGGTCCTGCTCCACCCCGACGGCGACGTCGTTCCGAGGCCGATCGACCTGGACAACCACCTGCTCGACGACGTTATCTGCGGCGCGGGCCATCTGTTCCTTCTCGGAAAGACATGTCGACACCACCGTCCCGACTACCGCCTCCTCAACCTCGCCACCCGTCAAATCCGAGCTATTCCCAACCCGATCCCTGGCGTCTTGGAAACGCCACCTGTCGTCGGGATCTACCATGACTCCGATTTCTGTGGGGTGGGCCCCGATTTAGCTGCCGATGATGTCAAGGTCGTTCTGGTTCGCGACTGTTTTCTGTGTCGTGACAACGACAACCGGAACCGTCGATCCTCGGTTCTCGTGTACACATTGCGGAGCGACTGTTGGAGGGAGCTGCAGGCAGTGAGCTGCCCTAAAGTCCCTTGTGGGGAGAAACGTTTCGGTCACCCGATCGGTCGTCACGTTTTTTCTAACGGGTTCTTCTACTGGCTCTTTCCAGACGGGAGGGGGCCTGGCGATAACAACTACGTGGTGGCGTTTGATATGGGGAGGGATGTTTTCCACGAGATAGACTGCCCCGTGGACGCCCCACCGGGGGGTGGGGTGATCCTCGGCACGTGGCGCGATTCGGTTGCTTTGATTCGGGCGGAGATGTATTCGCCGAATGACATGTGGCTGCTGAGTAACGGTGGTGGTGGTGGTGGAGAGTGGTGTTGGACGAAACGACGTTCGAGTCGAGGGCCTTTTCCTAGGAGGGTCAATGCGCATGGATGGTGGGACGATGATCAGATTCTCGTTGACGTGGAATGTTGGGAGCTCTTGTTGTGTGATACCGTCGCTGAGGAATGCAGAGTTTTGATGATGGACAAGTCGCCGCAGCGCGTGCATGTTTACAGAGAAAGTTTGAGTTTGCAGCTGACCACAAACTGATTGATGTTTCTTTTTGAATTTGTGGTTTGCGTTAAAAAAAATTTGTGGTTGTTGAAGATATTGCTGCTGTTGAAGAAGCCTGAATCCGAATCCGAGCAGGAGAAGGAAAAGGCTGCGTCTGTCTTTCATTTAAGTTGCTGCTGTGTCGTTTTGGTTTGTTTCAGTTTGGTCCTTGTTATTTTTGTCTTGGTTGCAATGGTCAGTTAGCCGTTGCAGGGTTAGTTTCAGATTGGTTGAGGATTTTAGCTACTCCTCAGGGATTGGGATTGATAGCCGTTTGGAGTCCTGAGTTTAGGGACTTTCTGTTAAGGGTCTGTGTATAAAGATCAGTCTCAATCAATGAATAAAGCTGTCAGTTTGCAGCAATCTTGCTTTCATAGTGGTATCAGAGCAATTGCAGGCTGTAACCAGAGCGTGTTTCATTGAGAGTGTGAGCTGTGTGAAATTGCGAAAGGTTCTGGGTTTGGGAAACACGAGTGAAGGTGAGGATCCCAACTATTGGTGAGTGAAATCCAGAGAGAGCAGAAAATGAGTGGTGATAATAGCTTTGCTCAAGTGGGAATTCCCAAATTCGATGGGGATTATGATCACTGGAGCATGCTGATGGAAAATCTGCTTAGATCCAAAGAACTATGGATTGTGGTAGAGACTGGGTTCAAAGAAGCTGATGCAGACTCTGAGCTGACTGAAGCAGAGACGAAGACGCTGGAGGCAACCAGGCTGAAGGATTTGAATGCTAAGAACTTCCTGTTTAGCTCTATTGATAAGAGCATTCTCAAGACAATCACTCAGAAGGCAACCTCCAAGCAGCTGTGGGACTCTATGAAGATTCGATATCAGGGCAATGAGCGTGTTCAAAAGGCCAATCTGCAAGGGCTTCGAAGAAACTTTGAGCTGCTTCAAATGAAGGATGGGGAAACAGTGACCAGCTATTTCAGCAGGGTAATGGTCATTGCAAATTCAATGAGGAACTGTGGCGAGGACATGAATGACTCCAAGATTGTTGAGAAGGTGCTCAGGACTTTAACTGAAAAGTTTAATTACATTGTGTGTTCAATTGAAGAATCCAAGGATATTGCTGAGATGTCTGTGGATGCTCTGCAAAGCTCTCTGCTTGTGCATGAGCAAAAATTTGCAAAATCCTCATATGGGGAAGAGCAAGTCCTGCAAGTGTTTGGAAATGGTAGAGGAAGAGGAGGAAGAACTGGGTATCAAGGCAGAGGTGGAAGAGGACGTGGAAGGATCTGGAATAGGGATCAGATTGAGTGTTTTAAATGTCACAGAATGGGGCATTTCAGTCGAGAATGCCCTGAATGGCAAGCTCATTACTCGAGCTGGGGACCAAATGACATCAAAGATGATGTTCTGTTGATGGCTTACTCAGAGGAAATGATTCCAAATGGAGCAATGAAGAAGAATGATGACTGGTGGTTTCTTGACAGTGGGTGCAGCAACCACATGTGTGGAAATAAGAGCTGGTTCTCTAAGCTTGATACCAGTTTTAAAAGTGATGTCAAACTAGGCAATGGCAGCAAACTGGAAGTGCAAGGGAAAGGATCTGTAAAGATGATTGTTGGAAAAGTCCCTCTGGTGTTCCAGAATGTCTTCTATGTACCCAGTTTGAAGTCAAATCTCTTGAGTGTGGGTCAGATGCAGGAGAAGAATCTGGAATTTATAATCAAGAATGGAAGCTGCAGAATCTACCATGAAAAACATGGTCTGCTGCTGGAAACATCCATGAAATCTAACAGGATGTTTGTTCTGCAAGCCAGACATCATGTGGAAGAAGGAAATCAGTGCTTTCAAACTAATGCTGAGCAGCATGATACACTGCACCTGTGGCACAGACGTTTTGGTCATCTCAGCAAAGTCAATCTGATGAAGTTGCAACAAGAAAGACTGGTACAAGGGCTTCCAAAGCTTACTGGAGATATTGGGGTATGTGGAACCTGTCAGATTGGGAAGCAGTGCAGAGCTAAGTTTCCAAAGAAGGGAGCTTGGAGGGCCATAAAACCACTTCAACTTCTGCATGCTGACTTATGTGGTCCAATTACTCCTGCATCCAATGGAGGAAAAAGGTATATCATGACTCTTACTGATGACTTCAGTAGAAAGCTGTGGATTTATTTCCTGTCTGCAAAATCAGAAGCCTTAGCCTGTTTCAGAAGATTTAAAGCACAAGTAGAGAATGAAATTGGGAGGAAAATTGCTTGTCTCAGAACTGATAGAGGAGGAGAGTTTCTGCTGCATGAGTTTCGAGATTTGTGTGAAGAAGCAGGCATCAGAAGACAGTTGACAGCTGCTCTTACTCCTCAGCAAAATGGTGTTGCTGAAAGAAAGAACAGGACTGTCATGAACATGGTTAGATGTTCACTGGAGGATACCAAGGTCCCCTCAACCTTCTGGCCTGAGGCTGTGGATTGGGCTACTCACATTCTGAATAGAAGTCCAACTGTAGCCAATGATGGTAAAACACCTCAAGAAAGATGGACTGGTAAACCTCCCTCAGTGAATCATTTAAAGGTTTTTGGCTGTGTAGCCTATGTTCATGTGCATGACAGTTTGAGGAAGAAGCTGGATGATAAAAGTGTTAAGTGTAACTTTCTGGGAATGTCTAAAGAGTCCAAGGCCTACAAGCTGTTCAATCCAGAATCAAAGAAGATCATCATTAGCCGAGATGTGGTCTTTAATGAAGAGGAAGGATGGATTTGGAAAGCTGAGGAAGAACCTGTTCTGACAAAACTGGTTTGGGAAGGAGGAGAAGAAGACTGGCTTGATTCAGAAGAGGGAGAAGAAGGGGAGGATAATAATGATTCTGGTGGTGCTGGTGACAATGGAGAAGAAGGAATCACAGCTGAGGAAGGAACTGAAACCACTTCAGTTCACACAAGTTCTGAAACATCAGAACCAGTCACACCAGCAGATCCAGAAGAAGAAGAAGAGGAAGAAAATGTGACTGATGCTTTGGGGCTTCCAATTAGCAGTGAACTAGGGCCTAGAACTCGCAAGTTTCCAAGGCATTTTGATGGATTTGATTGTGAAGGAATGCCTAATCTGGCACTTGCTGAGACTGACTGGTGGGCTCTAGCTGCTGTCAGTGGAGATCCAAGGACATTTGAAGAAGCTGTACTTGAAGAAAAGTGGAGGAAGGCTATGGAACAGGAGATTGATGCTATCAAAAGAAATCTCACGTGGACTCTAGTTGCAAGGCCAGCAGGAGTAACTCCAATTGGAGTAAAATGGGTGTACAGAACCAAGCTGAAGGAAGATGGAACCATAGACAAATTTAAAGCCAGATTGGTGGCAAAGGGCTATGCTCAACGACATGGAGTAGATTATGATGAGGTATTTGCACCAGTGGCAAGATGGGACACCATCAGAACATTCTTAGCTCTTGCTGCACAATTCAATCTGACTGTGTATCAGTTAGATGTCAAGAGTGCTTTTCTGCAGGGAGAACTCATAGAGGAAGTCTATATTGAACAGCCACAAGGTTTTGAGATCCCTGGAGAAGAAGGAAAGGTGTATAAACTGCAGAAGGCTCTGTATGGCCTAAAACAGGCCCCTCGAGCATGGTTCAGTAGGGTTGAGACTCACTTTCTCAACACTGGTTTTGAGAGATGTGAGTTTGAACACACTTTGTTTGTGAAGAAGAGGAAAGAGGAAGTGCTGATGGTCAGTGTGTATGTTGATGATTTGATCTATGCCAGCACCAGCTCTGAGTTATTGAGAGAATTTAAGGAGTCCATGGAAGCAGAATTTGAAATGACAGACCTGGGAAGGATGAAGTTCTTTCTGGGAGTGGAGGTAACTCAGTCTGATTCTGGTATATTCATTTCTCAGCAAAAATATATCAGTGAACTGTTGGAAAGGTTTCATTTAGCAGAATGCAACTATGTGCATAATCCTATAGCCCCAGGAACTAAGCTCTCAAAAGCTGGAGATGGAGTTATGGTCAGTGCAACTGAATACAAACAGGTTATTGGAAGCCTGTTATATGCAACAGCTACAAGACCAGACATCATGTATGCAGTCTGTATGCTAAGCAGGTACATGGATAAACCCACAAGACAACATATGCTGGCGGCAAAAAGAGTGCTAAGGTACTTGAAGGGCACATTGAAGTTTGGAATTCTGTACAGAAGACAAGAAGAAGGAGATTGGTTGCTGGGGTACACTGACAGTGACTATGCTGGTGATCTAGATGACAGAAAATCCACCAGTGGCTATACTTTCTTTCTTGCAGGGGGAGCAATCTCTTGGAGCTCGAAGAAGCAGCCTGTTGTCACTCTTTCAACAACCGAGGCAGAGTTTGTAGCTGCAGCCTTCTGTGCAGCTCAATGTGTGTGGCTCAAGAGGATCATAACTCAGATGGGTTGGCTGGAATGTGTAGCAGGAACAACCAAAATCATGTGCGATAATAGCTCAGCTATTAAGCTTTCTAAGAATCCTGTTATGCATGGTCGAAGCAAGCACATAGATGTGCGTTTCCACTTCTTAAGGGAGCTAACCAGGAATGGAGTGATTGAGTTGGAACATTGCAGAACTGGTGAACAAGTTGCAGACATAATGACAAAGCCATTGAAGTTGGAAACCTTTCAGTTGCTGCGCAGCAGGCTTGGACTGGTCGATGGTGATGAACTGAAGACTGAAGATTGATGAACTGAAGCTGATCAGATATGCTTCAGTTCAGGGGAGGCTGTTGAAGATATTGCTGCTGTTGAAGAAGCCTGAATCCGAATCCGAGCAGGAGAAGGAAAAGGCTGCGTCTGTCTTTCATTTAAGTTGCTGCTGTGTCGTTTTGGTTTGTTTCAGTTTGGTCCTTGTTATTTTTGGCTTGGTTGCAATGGTCAGTTAGCCGTTGCAGGGTTAGTTTCAGATTGGTTGAGGATTTTAGCTACTCCTCAGGGATTGGGATTGATAGCCGTTTGGAGTCCTGAGTTTAGGGACTTTCTGTTAAGGGTCTGTGTATAAAGATCAGTCTCAATCAATGAATAAAGCTGTCAGTTTGCAGCAATCTTGCTTTCAGTGGTATGGTTTAAGAAATTAGTGGTTTATTTTAATAAACGTGTATTCTGTCTGCTATATTAGGTCATACGACCGTCATTGTCTAACTTTGGGCTTTTAGGGTGGGCCATAAGAACCATAATAGCTTTGCGCTATAGCCCTGCTTTCTGTATCCAAAAGAACAAGATGGAATATTTACTGACAAAAAAAAAATTGTATTGTAACGTCCCTTATGTTTCTCTCTGTTTTCACACTTTTCCGTCGAGTCGTGCATGTAAAGAGTAAGACAATACAAAATTACAAACAGCACTATGTACAGTCATTTACGATAGCAATAGCATAGCACTATAGCAGAAGCACAACTGTCTGTTTATTTACGGTCTACGGATGAACTGCTGAAAGCTACACCAAGCAGTAGCAATGGTGCAAGGAACACAATGCTTGTAAGGTTCCTATGTGCAAGTTGCTACAAAATGCTTGTAAGGTTCCCATATATGAAACACAATGGTAAGTTCTCACCGCTCAGTTAGAGTTCAACCTCTCTCAGCGTGGTCTACTATTAGCTGCAAGCAAGCAAGCACAATCGCGACATACGAGCGACAATTGGTTATCAGATCGGATACGGAAGGCACTGTAAGAATGCAGAAGCTCGGGAGAGAAAATGACAGATGGAGAGTGGTGTATATGGTAAGTGGTAATGTTACCTGACAAACAAAACAGTGTGCAACAGTCGATGATTGGCCGGAGAAAAGAAGGCATCTAAACAAAAGCGTAGGGATCATCGTCTGCATATGGATTCAGTGATCCTTCGGAAAACAGATCTCCTATGTTCGAAGGACGATGCAGCTGGGTAGCAGCAGAGCCCTTGATTCGCTGTATAAGAAAGCAGAAGCCAGCAAATCCATGGGCGCAGAGGTAATATGCTAGTTGTATTTATACAAGTGCAGAATAATATGGCTGATTCAGACAATTCACGTACAGTAGGCAAAAATGGCTTCCTCGGAAGGCAAGGATATGGCAGCCAGATAGTTGGGAAAGAAACAGATAGTGTTTATTGCATAACAAGGAACAAAATTTTCCAGATCTCATCAAGAAAATGACGGTTTTGTTTTACCTTTAGTGCAGTTCTAGGAGTAATAACAGCCTTGGGGGTGCCCTTCTTACTATGCTTCACAGGACCCTAATTAAAACACGGAAAAGGAAGGAAATCCAGCATCATGATATAAAATAGGAATGCTCTACAAACATTCAAACAGGGAACAGCTTGTCTTGCTCAATGTTCAGTCACTAACCTCGAGCACTGCTGTAGTTTTTGTCTTTCTGCGCTTTGCAATTGTTGCACCATCGGCAGTCTCAAACTCATACTCCGGGCGGGAGACCTGCAGTTCAAGAAAGTTGAGCGAGTAAACTGTCCGTAACACACAAGACTTTGAAAGGAGACACGGCAGATAATATAGTTAACTTGACAGCATTGAGATATCTCTGCAAGGATAATGGAAGAAGGAAAAAGGCTAGGAATAGTAAGTTCACACCAATGTTAGAAAGGTTAACAGACCTTCTTGGTATGCATGGGGATACCCATTGCATTTCCTCTCTTAGCACTCTCTGGCCTTGCCAGTGATCTTGGACTTTTTCTGATCTTTCGGTGGTCTAACATCTGGACTGATGAAACGGAGTGTTCCTGCGAATTGATCATGTTCTGAGTTCCATCATGCATGTAGAACAAATTTAAACAAGAGTAATGTATGTCTTCTTTAATGAATGGCATGAGCATGGCTGCCCCAAATCCTGTGTTTGAACTTACACTAAACAAGAGCTTTAATTATGTGACCAAGAGTAATATATCTCCACCTAAACACCAGCTCGAAGCGCATTTTCTAGGGAACAAGGAGAAGGAGCTATTCTTTGGAATAAGGGTGGGTACCTTGTTAGAGTTCACTTCTTGATCAGCTCCTCGATTGTTGCTCATCACTTTCAACTGCATCTCCAGCAAAGCCCTCTGCTTGTCTTCCTGAAATTTCCACAGCATTTCCTTTTCTTAAAAGTCTGAAGAAATGTTTTCCGAAAGAACACTCTTAATGCATGTGTAAGAAAGAACCTTGTCCCTTTGGAGATCCAACTCGTCCTGTAGCTTCCTTCCCACATCTTCATACTGGCTTCTCAGAGTTTTCATTTGAGCCTCGTGCTCACTTCTTAGCGACGCTATTTTCTGCATAATATATTACCAATTGAGTAATTTGCAATTATTAATCGACGGAAGTTGATGCTAATCATGTTATGGATACCTCTGTTTCTGCATGCTTAGCTTCAGATTCGGCACGCTTCAGCTCCTCACTGTGGCGAGCTTTAAGACTAGTTTCCTTCTTGTCATTATCCTGCTTGATTTGTAAAATCTGAAAAACAAAGCAGGCATTAAAAATCTTTGAGAAATAATGACTATGAGCCACAACGAAGAACTATATCTAATTATTCTAGTAGAAATCAACTAATATGACAAAAACTTAAAGATGAAAGCAATCTGAAACACAGAATCCAAAATCATGTGTCCCAGGACCACTTCACATAGAAACAACTATGCAGCTATGGAGGAATACAATCAAGATATAGCTTAACATACGTTATAACCTAGATAATGGTTCAGAGACAACTTCTATACACATAACTTTTCCCTCCAACAGCATTAGAACTCATTTCTAATAGTTATGCTCGAAAATCAAGCAAGGGGAGATTATTGTAATGGCTGTCTTGGTCATATTAAGTAATTATTAACAGATAATCTGATTCATCATGAACACCAGAATTCCACTCAGATCCCTTCCAGTGCTTACCATTGCAGCATGCTCTTCTTGAATACGCACAAGTTGCTGCTTTGATTCCTCCTTCTGTTCGGAAAGTTTCAGTTCGCAGTTTCTTTCCATGTCCTGTAGTTGTTTATTCACCTGAAAAATCCAATCCTGTCAGGCTTGAGTTACAATTACTCAGCAAGCATACTCTAAGACCAGATGAACATTCAGACCTTCTCCTTTTCTGTGTTAATGATTTCCAGCTTCTCTTCGTCGTACTTCCTCCGGATTTCAGTAATTGCCTGCGGTAGTGGCAATTGTGAACATGAGGTTGACATATCAAAGCCCAAAATCATTGAGATCCTGACAGACTAGACAGTAAATGAAAGATTTCTTCACCTGATCATTCCTAAGAGAAATTTCATTCAGATGTCTAGACAACTCCAGTTGTTTACTCTCAAGCATCATTTCATATTGTTTCTTTACTTCTGCCAGTCTGCCATCAGCTGCAGTCAATGAGGCCTGATTCTGCACAAATATATAGACAGGACTGAATTATTAGCAGAACTCGGAATATTAGTATACTGTTCACTCTTTCTTCAGCTTTTATTTGTCTTTCACCACCTCGTTGATTTTATCTTCCAAATTCTTCTCCCTCTCTTTAACTTGCAGAATAAGTTCTTCCTTTTCTTGTACAACATTCAGAAGTTCGTCAACTTTCTGCGACAAAGAATCCGTTTCTTGGTCATGTTCCTGAGCTTCCTTCTTCAGATTATCAATTTCATCCAACTTCTTTTGTATTTCCCCCTGTAATTGTTCTATGGTGCCTCTGTTTTCCTCTTCCAACTTAGCCATTTTCAGCAGTAGCTCTTTCTGAAATATGGAATGAACAAGCATTAGGGCTTGCACAAAACATGACTGAGTGTTTGGAATAATTAAATATCAAATCAAAGTACATTAAATAGAAACAATATAAACACAGTGTACCGTTTCATTCTCAGATGACCTTGAGCTTTCTGATAGAGCTTTAGTTTTCTCCTCTAATTTTGAAACCAGCATCACGGCTTCATCCTTCTTTAAGAGTAGTGCTTCAGCCTCAGACTCCAGCTTGTTAATTTTTTCAACTGCAGACCATTGCTCCTCAGCAAGCTTTTCCCTGAGAGACTCTAGTGCTTTCTCGAGCTCGGGGATCTTAGAGTTCAGCTCCGTATTTGTCAGTTGCATTGCCTCCATTTCAGATGTTGTTTCCAAGAATTTGTTGTGGAGCATATCGTACTGCTTTTGAGCATGCTTGGAAACAAGGGCACTCTCTCGTTGAGCCAACTCAATGGAAGCATCATAGAGTGAGCTCAGACGATTGAAGTTGTCAGTGAAACTCAAACTTTGCTCGTCCAGTTCAACTAACTGAGCGGTCAGCACATTAACAAAGTTCTCTAACTTCATAATCTCCTGAAGTGCTGTAGCCAATTCATTAGCCAATTTCTCATTGCTCAGTTGGAGGTCACTCTTTTCTTCCCCCAAATTCTGGACCGCAATGGAAGAATTGTTTATCTCATCTTCCTTCAACTTCAATTCAAGGTGCATGCTTTCCAGTTTAGAGTTCAGGCACTCCAAGTCCAATCCTTTTGCTGTCAGGGATGCTTCAAACTGCTTCAGCATGCCATCTGCAGGAAGAAAAAAAATTAGAAACTGAGTCGCATGATAGGTCCACACCAATGTGGTAATCTGGGGTTTCAATGCCTATACTTTAGTGTGAGCAGTTCACAATATCATCGATAGAAATGAAAATACTAGAGAAGAAATGCAGAGTCATTTCTCATTTTTCAGTTATCATGACAACTAGAGACAGAAAGCTTACACCTGCCATGCTTTAAGTGATATCATTTCTACATAGTTTTGCATACTCAAGATACATATAAAAAATGTCAACTACACTGTAGTCTGCTATTTGCTTCTATTCATCTTATCCTAGTTTTGTTCTTTCGAACACCTTACTCCGGAGACCAAGACATGCATAACATTCAAAAACGCAAGCTGACCATTTTACAGAGTCAAAATAATGGAATCAGGATAAAAAGCCAGCAGCTAGCAGCATCACAATAGTTAAAGATAGAGTAATCAATGAACCAGAATTTTCACCGTAGCCTGGAAGCATGAAGCTGTGAGTTAAACTGCTGAATGCTGATTAATACTAATGATTCTCTTTTATCATTTACATAATTGCCCTGTTTGTTATCATTGTTTTCCTAACTAGTGAATGGACCATCTACCATCCCAGCTGATTATGATGTCTCAGAGTGATAGGAAACCAAATTAATGGGCTAGTTCATTTCCCTAAAACACAAGAAACAAAAACTACATTCCAGGACCATAGCCTAAATGAACTGGGACAACTATAGATATGATAATAATTTCTTTGCACAGCAGTTGGCTTGCATATGATCTACAAGTAAGATATGAACTATTTATGCTGCTTTCAAAGTCAGTACACCATAGATGGGTTCAAATCATGAGAGGTTTCATCGGCAACCACAGTTCTAGAAGTAAGTTACCTTGATCCTCGATCAGCTTAGTAAGTCTCCCCTTCTCCCCTACAAAAACTTTACTCACTTCCTCCTTTTCAGTTCTAAGATCTGCCAACTCCTTCTCTCCTGCATCAATAACTCACAAATGTAAACAACCATGCTGAAAAACAAGCCCAAAGGCACCAAGAGTCCTATGAAATGCTCACGTGTTGCAAGAGTTCCCTCAGTAGATGACAATTTCAGAAACAGATCATTGAGTTGTAGGCTCAACTTGTCAATAGCATTCGAGTTTGCTGATAATTTGCCCTGAAAGAACTCCGTGTCCTTTTCAGCTGCCAATAAAAAGCAATTCGCTCTTCAGGGAAACAGCAGAAAAAAGAACCGGTGAAATCTGTAACCTAAATTGGAGAAATCTCACTCACCAAGCTCAACCTGTCCAGATAATTGGCGTAAACTTGCAGAGTGTTGATCACAGAACAATTTCGTTGAAGCAAACTTAGACTCTAATCCTTCCCACAGCTTCTCATTCTCGTTCTGCTTCAATTTCAGCTTTAGATTCTCATTAAACGCGTTCTGTAACTTTTCCTCCAGCGAACGGACATTCTCAATCGACTTCTTAAGCTTATTGTTCTAATCAGCCGAAAAAGGAAACGGATCTGAGTTCGTTCTACTACAACCTCCTCTATCGGCGAGAGAGAAAGACTAACAAGACACTAGAGAGGGAAATTCAGCACTTACCGTCGTTTCCAGCTCCATTTTCACCGGCGTCTGCTCCTTCACTAACTTCTCTGCAACCAGACGAAGAAACAGCTAGAATCAGGCGACGAGGATGTCCAGACAAAAATTACGCACAAACAGATCATCGGAATCCTTTCTTCAATACCTGCAGCGGACTTCGGATTCGTGAAGTTCCCCAACGACATCTGGTTATTGGAAGCTGGCCGCGGCGACGAGAACGAGAAATTCTTGCCGGATCCCGACGGCGGCTTCAGATGATCCAAGCTCCTCATGCTCGGAGACCCTAGCGTCATCCTCATGTCAATTGCCGGAGAATGTTTTCGAATTTGCGGGAAGAGCAGCTCTCTTTTGCTCACTGTTGGGGACGATGACTGCATTTTGACTTTCAAAGGAAACCGTCCAAATGATTTGAGCGCCAAACGGGGTGGGAACTCCAATTTATAGAGGACGGTGGACTTCTTCGGCCAATTACAGCTCCTTAATGTGTGTAAAGCCACTAATCTCTGCAATCTGCCTGATTAACTCGTTTGCATGTTTTGATTATCCGCATCATTCTCCTCCTTGGGCTTCCAAATGGATCGGGCCCTAACAACAGCGTTCTTATATGAGCCCATGAGGAATTTTCCGCTGCCAACGGGCCCGAGCCCTTAAGTGGAAGTCCATTTTCAAAATAGATCAAGGCCCACTTGCAGAATTCTTTGCTAGGGAAAACAGCAACTCTTTTCCCGGGCTATATGAGGGAGTTAAAGTTCCGAATTACAAAATGTTTTGCGAGAAGCAATTTCATGTTTGATCTTCTTCGGCAATACCATGTATTTATTTGCTCGTTTCTTACTGTTGTATCTCTAAATAATCCTTCATATTCAAAATTCATTAGTGTTTAATTAGCATTCCCCTTTTATTGATTAAGATCGGGCCAATACATGATCTAAATGCATCCCAACGAATTTGATATTCGAGATTGAGTTTGATTTGGTTTTGATTGTACGTAGAAAAGTCGGGCCGGATAATATTGCGATCGGGACGTTAGAGCAAATGTAATTTTAAAATATGATTTTGAGTCTCTTCTTCTAACTTTATGTAATGAAGAAGATCAAACATGAAGTCGATCTCAATGTAATTAAGCCTTTTTTTTACGTAAAATCAAAACCAAATCAAACTAAATCTCGAATGTAAACTTCGTTGGGATGCATTTAGATCGTGTATTGGTCAACTCTTAATAACTAAACAGTAAACGCCATTTTAAGCTTACCTTCTTCCTCCGGTGAATATTTTCGTCACTTTCTGACCTTAGTTTCGCCGTCTAGGGACATCCAACCGTTAGTGACACATTCAACGCACACACTACTGCCGACGGAGTGCCGTCCATATCTCGCGTACTAAGCTAAGCTAGAGACAGCTGAATTCTTGGTGTGAAATTGTGACTCTTTTCCAGTCCAAAGTTTTGACAACTCTTACGAAGAACATAACAAGCTGTTCTTGTTTCATCAAAACAACAGATTATCTCCAATGCTTTTGATTAAATCCCCTGCACGTGTCATATTAGTGGAGAGGATGACGATGGCGTTAGTTCACACGAGAAACGACAACAAATTACACGTCGGGTTAATCTTCCTCGTTCTTAACTACCGTTTGCTTAGTTAATAAATCCAGCCAATTAATTAGATTAATCATCCGTCTAATCGACGCGAAAAGTCTTCGCCGAGCTGTCAGTCCAACGCCCGCACACGGCCTTGAATTTCTTCGCCAACGTTGTTGTTTCATTAATTATTGTTTCGCCGCCGCCGCCGCCGTGAGGTCATTCGTCTGAACACAAGGGGGCAGAGCCGCCGTACGTAGGGTAATAAGGATAGTATAGAGGACGGCGACCATATCGACTGGGAACGGTATCTAGAAATGGTCTTACCATAAGTACGAGTTTGTATAGATAATATCTAATTTGTGCAACTTGATTGATGGTAAAACTTTTAATCCGACAGACCTGCTATCAGACTGATGATTGAACAAGTTTAATCACGACGAGATAAACTCTCCAACCACCTTCCTCCCCATCCCACAAATAATCAAGCTATACAAAAAAGTTCAACCAAATGCAACCCTCTAGCCTATTAAACCAAGCATCCACAATCGGGTCGATCTATAACCCAACTGATTGAGGCACAACTATATCTACAAACGACAATATTAGTGATCCATAACCCACTCACCTCCTTGGCTCGTAAATTTCACAATCAAAATTGATATGCAAGTATGTAACACGATGGACGCACGATCACATCCACGAATGACCACATCAACCCCAAACCAACCCGGTCCACGACCCGCATAACGTATAGGCTACAACCTCAATCAAAACACCCTGATCAATGCCACCCAAACTAGTCTAGTGATCTACCGTTTTCATAGTTGACTTTAAACAAACCAGGTTGAATTGATGAGCACAATGACTGCATTTTTTTCCAAAAGGGAAGTACGTGCAAGAGGAGTATTGGGATTGAGTAATTTACTAATTTTCTTTTTAATGAGGATTACGCCAAATGGGGAATGGATGGTCAACTCGGACAACCCACAATTTGCACGAAATTAGCAATGGGGTTTTTATCACAAATCGCAATCAAGCAGTCTAATTATGTGATTTAAGTAGAGACGAGTAGCTCTCTATTATTAGCTCCTTCCACCATTCCACATCAATCTGTAGAGTACCATCGTGAAAGAAGCAAAGACAAATAGTCAAATACTCGACGGCCACTGATTCATTATGTGGATCAAGGTCTTAATACCAGGCTAAACTGCGTAATTAGTGACATGATGATTAGTTGGGAACATATAATTAATTATATACAAAAATATAAATTAATAAATAAACAAAAATGAAGGGGAAGAGTTGAATTTTGAGTCCAAAATTGCGGCCGACTGCTAACCATAGTGTACACTCCAAGTATATATTATTAATTCTGAATAGAAAAAATATTTTTTTTCACGTGATAGGCGTATTTTAGTAAATAATTAAGGTTGGACCGATCGTAAGTTGCCAACCATACATTCAAACTCACATGATTCCTTCCTTCCACTTCCCATTTTGTCGTTTTTTTTTCTCTTTTCCTTAATTCCTGTCTTTCACACTCATTTCCCTTCAAATGTGATTGAGTGAAAGCCTCAGAAAGAGATATCTTTGGATTATTCAACTCATTCGATTAGTTTCGGTACTAATGTGTACTAGCGGGTTTTAATGGATGTGATCAATCCTTACAAATTGTGTTTATTGTAGTCAATTGCGTGTGGCTCTTTAATTGGTTGGAAATTAGAGAAATAATATCAATTGGATGAGCGGTTTATAATGCATGTGACTATAGTACGTAACCAACCGTAAGCTACACATTCAAGGTTATTGGAGTAGATTGTGAATAAATTTTAGGGTTGTTCTAAGCCATCGGATTCTATCCAAGCACTCAACATATAGACTTTAAGAGTGATAGTTAAAAGATTTTCTCTCGGTCAAGAGTGATAGCACACAACATAATTCTTAAAAAGAAAAGTAATAAAAACTGAATAATCTTCGTCGAAATTCTTTTGAGCAAAACCTCATACTTTTGTGTAGTGGGAATAAAAATTAAAAAAAAGCATGCTTTAATATTGTTTCTTTTTCCAAAATGTTCTCCAATCTCCACAAAGGGTGAACAATTCACGGATCAAACAAATCAAAGACACTTGTCTATAAATATATAAAATATATAACAATTATGCTTCTTTCTTATTGTTATTTAATAAAATGAAATGAATCAGAGCAAAGATAAATCAAAATTAGAAGAAAAAAATGGAACAATTTGTTTGGTTCGTTTCATCACTCCTCACTAAGCTAGCTAGTGGAGAAAGAATACAACAACATTCAATCTCATAATTCTCCTCCCGAAAATGATAGCTCGTGTGCCTTTGCTTTCTTTCTATTTGTTATAAAAATTCCAAGGATTAATGCTAATTTGGGCCCCCCAAACTATGAGTTCTTCCCACACAAAATGAGCCCCTCCCTAAATTTCATGATATTTCTCAAACCAACCCTTTCCATCAAATTTGACCGGTTGCACTCCGTCAAATTCAAAATATCAAGTTCGTCAGAGAACACATCTAAATTGCTCCCGAGTCTGTTAGCATGATCTTTACCGGTTGGGATGAAACAGATGCTCACATTTAGTAGGAAGTTGTTATTGTCTTTAACGAACATTACGCATGATCAAATATGAAAAAATATTGAAAAATTTAGTGGGATATGCTTTGGTAATCGAGCAAGGTACATTACCTTGTTTAAGTTAACCTTCAAAGTTCAATGACCAAAATTAGCAATTAGTCCATTTGTTCTCAATGGTTGCCCAATAGGCCTTAGTATTCACAAATTGAGTGAGTGAATTACTTGGCTTTGAGATCCCATTGGAATAGAACATTTTGACTATATGATGAAATATTTGGGGTTCTATATTTCCCTTTTTTGTGTGTTTTTTCTTTAATAAAAAGTAGGATGAGAAGATAAAGTAAGGAAAAGCCAAATAAGGTTGTGAGGAAGAAAGGGTTGGGGGTTGTCCCCAAAGACACCAAAGAAAAACACTGCACATGAGAAATGGGAGTCCTCATTTCGATCCATTGCTTTGGATCCAAAAATTCTAGAGACCCACCACCTAAACCTGGATTGGGATCTGGATTCAAAGAACGGGGTTGTGTCATGTGTGGACCATGATCCCCGTTTGAGTATCCATCTCGCCGATATTTTTTCGGATTAATTCGAATGCTAAACATGAAATTTTGAGGAAAATGTATCAACTTTTGTTGAATCAAACACCATTAGTAACGTGTTATCAATTTGTATATGCAGAAGATGTTGTAGAACAAACATCAATATGAGATGAAAATAATACTATAGATCTCGAATGGAAGCATGATGCTTCGACGACGTCGCTTTATCGGTAATATGACCATATATACCTTATGCTATCGTATGAATTTGAGTTCTTAATTTTAACAATCAAACACAAGCAGTATTTAGTAACACGAGTTAGAGTCGACACACGATTTGAACGATCATCGAAAGGGCTATCATAGAAGCGGTATAAGCCCCCTCATTTTCTTCTACTTTTAAAATTGGTAAAGAGTTAGGACTCAAGTTACCAACATTTATCTTCCTTTCGATAATATCATAATATTATAACTTGTTCTATACGTCAGTCTATCAACCTAAATTCACAAATCTCAACAAGTAAACGTGAAACAAACATGTAATGCTGAACGAAACGCATTTTTTTCCTCTCCAGTAACGTATGGGAGGCCGATCTCATCATCATCCTCAGGCTTTTCAGCCGTAAGTCGTAACCGTTGTTCTCTCGAGGAACCAAACAAAACAACATGAACAAAAGCAAACGTAGCCTGCCCACCTTCGATAAAATTCCATCAACCGTGCTTCTTCTTTTCTCTTGCTTTCTTTCATAGTTTCTTTCTTTATTCTGAATTATCCCTAAGAAAATGCTTGTCTTTTTATGTATTTATCTATTTATTAATAGTTAATGGCTTTTTTTTTTTTTTTGTTTGGACAATTTTGTAATTGAAGGGTTGATGATTTCACGAGAGCCCACTTTCCCCGACTACCACTTTCACTTCACTTTCTCATGCTCCCATTTACTAGCTAGCAAAGAGCAACCAACTAGTGGGTTATGGTCAAAAAGGAGGCTTGAAATCAAAGTAGTATAGTAGAATGCTCTGTTGTTGCTGTTGCTTGCTTGCTGGTGTTGGGATCCAAATGAAACGAACAATTTGCAAACTACTTCCCTATCCATTTGGTCTCTTATGGAATTTCTCCACTACTTGACAAAATACGACGATGTATCGTAGGGATACACAAAGAAATTTGACTCTATATTATTGTTGGGGTAATTAACATTTGCTGCTTTTTGGTGTTGTGGGTAACCATTGATATGAGATTATATGAATTGAGTTCAGAATAATTCCAATGTTTTTTTTACGTACAATTGAGTATGAGAGATGATGATCAAATGGGGTGGATACATTCAGTATTTGCATATATTATATGTTGGATCGCATATTGGAAGTAACGTAATGTAGTATATCTATAATTGTGATTGAAGAAACTGTGATGCATACATGCAATTCTTTGACTCTTTGAGTAAAAAAAAAAAAGAGGAAAGTATAAACCAATGTGAATTATGTGATAGAGGATGGCTAAACTAATGTAAGAAATTCGATTGAGAGATTTGTGATTAAGTATCGGGGCAGAGCTGGATACATAGCATGAGTAGGAGAAGGAAACAAATTGAACGAAGAAATTGAGATGCATAGTTTTTTTTTAGATAAGGGTGATATAGGTTTACTTTTTGTGATTAGGTAGGTACTACTGAAGGGATTTGAACCTGGGTCCTCTAGGTTCAAAGCTAGTGGTATTACCACTAGACCAAATCCTTGTTCGTCACAGTTTAATTTTAACGCATACCATTTTTAATGAATAACTCGTATACATTGTTACATGCAATAATATATTAATGAAATAGGTTAAATCAAGTAATTAATACAGATAAAAATCGTTATCCTATTGAGTCAACTTGTGAAGTCATTGTCAATATGTTTTACTCTTCAAAATAATTTCATTTCTTACCTTTTAGCATTGTAATTTTTAAAGCGTTGCCCACCGGCCACCGTCGTGGTTGAAGAGAAAAAAACACAAGTGGGTCGCCGAAAGAATGCAAATTGGGCCCAAAAAACGGACGAGAAAAAAGAAGTGAAGAGGAGTAAAAGATCTTTTTTTGTGGCTCAAAATTCTACCATTCATCATCAAAGCTCTCACTCACACACACTACCCACTGAGCTCAACCCTAGAGAAAGAAAATAACTTTCCAGTTCCTTCTCCCAAACAATCCCTAAAGAAGGAAAAAATGGGAAATCAAAGAGATAATTTTTTTTTTTTTTTGGAAATTTGCAATCATCCAACTCTTGACTCTTCTTGTTGCTTTCTCTCTTTCCCTCACTGTCTTTCTAACCATTTTCTAATTGGGAGGGGGGACCAAATAGCAAACTCACAAGTGAAAAATACAATAAATATCAATAATAATTATTGCCCATCTCCCACCAATCTCAATCCAAATCCAACCCAATAGTAATGTCATTCACCAAAAATTTGACTGTCCCTCTTAATAGTTTCAATTCGTGATTGGAGGGTTTGTGGAGGGTGTTGTGATACCCTTGTCCCTTGAAATGTGAGAGAACAAAAAAAAAAAATATTAATTACGATGCAGTAGTATACTCGATCACAATTCAGTAGTTCAATTGTGGATCGAACAATCAATCAAGAGCAGATCGTGCATATACAACAACTAAAACAAGGCTAAAAATGAATAAATGATAAATAGAAAATAGAAAATATGATGAAATAAGAAAAGAGGGAAAGCACCAGAAAGTCTAACATCAAACTCCATCATCATCATCATCAGGCTGAAGACCAAAACAACATTTCTGCCTGTCTTAAGTCCCCCTCCCACCCCACCCTCAATAAATATCATTATTAAAATGCAGTGGGAAAGGGAAAAAAAACCATACAATAGAAGTAAAAAAAAAAAAAAAAAAAAATTTATTCAAAAAAAAAAAGAAGTAAAATATTCTAATTGGTACTTAAATTAACAATTTTTAAAACAGAATTTGCAGGAAAATTGTTTTGCTGGCCTTCTTCCATGGGCATCTTCCTTGGTCCACTCAAACACAAGAGAAGAAGAAGAAGAAGAAGAAAAAGAAGAAAACACACAACAGACAGCAACAAGGTCAAGCTAGATTCCTTGCCCATTTCCCACCTATCCATTCATCTCTCTCTTATACTCTATTCAACCTCACCTTTGCTTTCTTTTCTGGTTTTTGACAGCTAGCTTTCCATTTCATTATTCCTCACCTACGAGAATAAAATTAAAAGGTTACCATATTTTTTTCCATAAATTGTTTCTGGTAGAACGATAGATGATAGAAATCAAAATCGGCCTATTAGAACAAATTAGATCATTCTAATGCTCGAAGACCACCAAGGGACAGCTAAGCGGTAAAGTAGAAGCGTTACGTACGTCATGCTCCCGAGTTTCTAATTCCTATAATCTACGCGAATAGGAGGAAAATCTCTTGCATCCACTTATGAGATCAAATCACCAAGTTATATGTGTTTATCAAATATTCACAACTTACTGAGAGAACACTACACATCGGGGTCTCGATAAAAAATGGCGAATTTTGATCCCAAGTCTAGTACTTTAAGATGAGTGAACTCCTGGACAACACTTTCTACAGCAAAGTCTAGCTAAAGAGAGTGAAAGTTTTTCACTTTTTTTACTGCCAACTCCCAACTGTTAATCTACCATGTGTTGGGTCCTATTAATTGCCCCAAATTTACTACTATCCATCCCTCCCAAGAGTAATGGAACTCGATTCCCGTTTCAGTCCTTTGCAGAAACTTCACATTTATTGTCATTAACCCCACAGAGTCACTGATTCCTCCCATGCAATGCAAACTTATTATGGTAAAAATTAATTTCACTGCCCCCACCAAATTTAACCCCCAAAATGATAAAAATAAATAAATAACACGAAAAATCTGAAATTCGATTTCTAGAGTCAACATTTTGACTATTCTTCGCTGCCTCACCGAACAGTATGTAGCACTAGGAGTAGGAGAAGTGACGGGAAAATGAACTAAGGGAAGGGAAAATAACGAAGCGGTACCCGAAAATTATACAATTGGAAGCAAAGATCCTCTCATTTCTCATTTCCTGCTAGAATTCATCATCATCATCATCGTCCCCAACCAAACATATACGTTTTAAAAATCTTACAGAGCTCAAGAACGGGAGGGGGGAGAGGGCAATGGAGAAAAATTAAAATTCCCAAAAAGAAAAGCGCAAAAATTCTGAATATTTAAATATATTTTTTTTTTGGCCCCCTTTGATTATTCCAGGGTAGCTGAACCTGTAGAAGAAGAGACTCGGGGCGACGTCACCGGGAAAAGCGGCAGCAGCCGCGGCGGCTCCGCCTCCCTCGGCGTCGTCGCCGGTGACGGGTGCAGGTAGAATCCCTTCTCCTTAATCGCCTTCTCCTCCGAGTCGGCCTCCATCACGCTGGCACCGCCCGAATTATTCGCTCCGCCGTTGCTGTTGTGATTATAGTGATGGTGGTGGTGGTGATTCGCGGCGCTCATCGGGCTGGCGTAGCAGTTCCCGGCGAGCCCGGATCGGTCGAACGGGTCGGGTATCAAGGGGGTGACGGGGCTGAGCACGAGCGCCGGGAAGTCGAGGATGCTGGGGGAGAGGATCTCGGGCTTCCGGGGCGAGAATCCGGATCCGGGTCCGGGCGGGGCGAGGAACGGGTTGAGCGGGTTGATTTTCAGATTCTTCAGGGAGTTCCGCCGCTCGTAGAGCTTGAACCCGGAGGGCTGGTTCCTCTTGGGAATCGATTTGATCGGCGGGATGGTGTGGGAATGGGATTTCACCTGGTGGTGGTGGTGGTGGTCGGGTTGTTGGTTGGGCGGGGATGGGCCGCCGCCGGTGGCGGCCGCGGCGGCCGATTTCGGAGATCCCGTCAGCATTTGGACGACCTGCTTGAATGAAGAGGTGTCGGCCTGGACGAAGGTCGTCGGGTACGGGTTAGCCGATTCGGATCTGGCTATTGGATTTGGCCGGGGAGACGGCATCTGCTGCTGCGGCGGAGGAGGCGTCGGCGGCGGCTGGGCAGCCGCCCCCGCTCTGTGCTGGTGGAGGCCGTTGGAGGAAGGGCTGCTGCTGCTGTTGCTACTGCTGCTGCTGCTGTTCGGAGAAGGAAGGAGGGAGTGCGGCGACTGGGCGTAATTCCGGTGGTCTGGGTGAAATCTCGGCGAGGATTTCTCCATTTTTGCTCCCACCCCTGATTCTCAAATCTGAAAAAACAAAATCAGAATTTCTTTTCTTCTGGGTGGGTTTGTTGTTTGTTTCTCAGGGAAAGGAAAACAGTGGAGAAGGGGAAGAGGAGATTATTAATGAGAAGGAAGAGCAAAGAAACGGAGGGAGGAGATGGAGAAGAAGAAGAAGGAGAAGAAATGGAGTCTTCTCTTTCTCTTTCTACGGTTTGGTAAGAAATGTTTTGATGTAGGGACTTTAGACTTTCTCTCTCCTCTGTCACTCTGTTTTTTTCAACCGGCACGCGCTATGTGAGCACGCGCGTAACTGGACGGGAAACGGGGGAGGGTGGAAAGTGAAAGGAAGGAAAACGGTAACGGACGGGGGTTAGGCAGTAAATGGGAAGTGTAGTAAAAACTAAAAAGGCCAGCTAGCAGAGGCTAACAATTTTCACTGATGGTTCGTGTGGAGTTCATCCCTTGTAGGCTGAACAAGCTTGTGGATTTGGTGGCTTGTCGGGCTCGATTGTGCTCATTACTTACGAATTGGGTGTTAATTTATAATCTTTCTGTTCCGTTTTTGTAATGACACTTTGGTCTCTGCTTTCATCAAATGAAATATAAGGCATTTTATAGTCTTATTGTCAAAAAAAAAATTGACTGATGGTGGGGATTTAATTTATTAATTTAACAAAGTTGGATAAATATTAATTATGAATTAATATTTTGCATTTCTTACTTTTTTATTCAGTAAATGATTAAGACCAGTTTTATTATCTTACCAATGAATTCTTTTTGCTTTGGGAAGATATTAAGGGGTCGTTTGGAAGTTGTGATTCTTCAAATTGATGTATTAGGTCAATTAGTGTATTATCATTTGATGTATTGATTCAATGCATGTATTAGGAAAATACTTTGTTTGGAAGAGCAATGATGAAACAAAAAGTAGGGTAGACAATCCCTCATTAACAATCTCACCTTTTATTAGAGATTTACAATCATTCATTTTGAGTGATTGTAGGTGGGCCCAACAAAAAGGTAATGCATGCATTCTAACTCAAAGTGAACCAAAAAAACGACTTAATCTTATCATTACATGTATTTGCTAAATACCCTACTTCAAATCTCAACTTCCAAACGACCCCTAAATGGAATAAAATCCTGTTTGGATAACTATGAATTTGTTTATGGGGTAAATATATTACTGCACGCGGTCTTCTTTCCTAATAATTGGATTTTGAAATTATAGCACCTTGTTTCCTTTTAAAATTTCCATGTTAAACTTTTTAACTTTTTACTTGGAGAATTCATGTTTTTTTTTTCTTCTCCGATGAATAAGCAGGTCGATTAGATCGGATGATGTAAAATTAAAATTTAGATGAGTATACATATCGATAAGTTGAAATGAAGTGTTTGGAGTGTTTTTTTTTACCAAACTCATAACAAACTTAACTTGCTTGAAATGTTAGGACACAAGGGCTTCCTATTTGACCGATAATATCGGAACAATTGCCGTCTATGTGCATTTTATTAAAATTAATGTGATTGGTATTATGGACATAAACAGAATCTAACAAATTTCTAATGGATAAGATAGTATTGGTTAAAACATTAATGTAAAATATTCAATGTTTCTCTTTCCCAATTCACAATTAACACCATTTTTGCTAGTCTCAACAAATCTTTCTTGTACTTCTTCGTCACGACCATACAAAATTGAATCAGTATTTCAAATCGAAATCAATTACTATCATCTTAAACACCGAAACACTACAAATTCGAATCACCAAAAACCTCGACGGGCGAGACGTGCCTCGAATGTTAGCTTATCTAGAGCAAAAGCAAAGTGGTGGGAAAGTAAAGTGGACTCGCTAAGGAACTGAGAGTGGGGATAGGCCCATTAAGCAAACTCCCAAGTGGTGAGAAAGGATTGGCGGTTTGTGGAATTTCCTTTCAGAAATAAAATTGTAAGAAGAGAGAGTCGGTGTGGGCCAAAGCAGAAAACCCAAAAAAAGAAATCGTCAAAAAAGAGTTCAATATTCAGAGCATTGACTTGCAGTACACCCACCACCCCTTTCCCCTTCTTATCACTCTCTCTTTCTGTCCTAAGTCTTGACTAAGTTAATTGCTAAGATTATGATTAAGATTAGTTCCTAATCCATCCTCAATTAACAATTCAATTTTCTTCTTTAAGTTGGATGGGATTTTTAGCATTAGATGCTTCCTAGGTGTCCAATAATAAACTCCGCACTCTTCCTTTCCCACCATCTTCATGCACAAGTACAATTAGTGGTAGAGTATTAACCTATGTTTTCGTCCTTTTAAGTATATATACTACTTGATTATCAAACCAAAGGAAACAAATTACTGTACTTGACAGTAAGACACGTATAAATCGAGAGATGGTCCGAACAGTAAGCCATGATTCCCCTTTTTTATGATCAAATGAAATTAAGTTTACCCATTTGCCCACTTCAGGAAAGAGTGAACAAAAAGTTGATTGAATGATGATAATGTTTTTATTCTATTTTTTATGAGTGTGAATAAGAGAAGAAGAACAAGAAGAAGAAAAAAAAAAGTAAATTGTGGGATCATATGATGTGCGGATGTGTGTGTTCTTCTGATTTTTGTTTGTATGTTTTGTTTGTTTGTCAAATCAAGTACACTACTAAAGAGTCAAGGAAAGTCAGCTGCTTGGAAGGTGGGTTTTCTTGGAATTACTGGTGATGCTTCAAATCCAAAATCGTCGGTATTCGACCGGCTCCGTGCAACACTCGAGAAAATATTTTAAAGTACTTGATCAGTTAATTGGGTCACAGTTGACAGCTAATTGTCGAAGTTTCTACAATTCGTAAAAGATAATAGAATAAAAGAGGTTTACTTTATCGATTATTCGACACATACTCGTGTCTTCCATTTCAGACCTAATTATGGTTTAATTGTTTTAACAAATCCATTACATGCCAATAATTTCTTATTTTAATTTTACCCACTTACCCACTAAGCACTTTGTAACTGATTTTACCATATTCTTTCACTTGTGAATAACTTGGCAACAAATTTTGGCGAAAGTTGGGAGGTGGGGGAGAATTTTACCTTTACGAGAACAAGTGAAGTGAGTGGGCAAGTGAACGTGGACGAGTCAGGGTCAGGTCAGACCTAGAAATGGGATTTCTTTCTTTCCTCTGTTTCCCCAGTTTGCCAACACATTACACACTACACTACAATATTGAGCGGGGGAAAAGGGTGAAAATGAGAGGTGAATCCAATTCCCCTGCATTTCCAATTTTCCATAGCCGAGACAAAGAACTTCAAAACAAAGAATACAAACAAGAATCGAAAGAAGGAAATTTGCAGGCTAGCTAGTAGCTCTGTAGCACCAGCAGCAGCCCTCAGCCCTGTAATTTCAAAAAGCTGAACCCTGCCAAAAGGACCACACAAACTGCCATCTTTTTCCTCCCAAATGCACCACTTCTCTAATGTTGTATGTGTCAAGAACCAGTTGATCTCAATAACTCGAGTTGTTGGAAGAGGTTCAATCGTGGATCATATACCACAACACTAACACGCCCCCTCAAACGAAAGCCACTCACAAGAGTTTGAAGTTTGCACAGGTCTGAAGACAAGAATACCATGTGCTTAACAAATGGGGGTCACCGGGAATCGAACACAAGACCTCTCGGTCACAGAAGGCTCTGATACCATGTCAAGAACCAGTTGATCCCAATAACTCGAGTTGTTGGGAGAGGTTCAATCGTGGATCATATACACAACACTAACAGTATGTTGTTGAAGCGTCACGAGCCGCGAGCGTCACCAACTTGATTTCAGTCCGTACTTAAATCTTCGCATCAATACATGCATTGAAAATCTTGAATACTTGGTTCAAGCTAACTTCATGAGTTTTCCACATGGGTTTCGGTTTTATAAACGACTTCTAATAAGAACTTCCTTATCTCTGCCGCGACCTCCAATTCATCGATCCGTTTTGCTTCATATATGTTAGTAAACTTCCAACCACATATCGAATCGAGATTCAGAGACCATCCCCTTGCTGCTTAAGTGAAGACAGTAAGGCAGCTAGGCAATGGCTTATTATTGCTTAGCTGCCGCCTATACACTCCATTTATGAACCAGAAAGCTATGGATGTGAACTCTGAGCAGCACGTTTTCGAAATTTCAGGGACACTCACTGTCACGTAATTGACCCTTGCTTGCTTGCTCCCCATTTCCATCCATTTCAAGTTTCCATCACTGAACACCAAAGAACAAAGATCGGAATCATTCATAATACAGGTGTGGGGATTGCATTAAATGCCCTCTCATCTTCCCCAGCTCCTCAAACTTTAAGGAAGGTGAATCGTTCCCAATAAACCAATCAAAAGTTACTGTGTAAACTAATTTGCAGGGTTCTTGTAGGTAGAAATTTGTATCCAGATTTGTTGGGTTAGTATGGTAGTGTCCGCTTTTAGTAAGCACGTTGTTGACGACCCACATGATATGTGTGATGTAAAACCGGAATGCGAGAATCATTGAAATTTACAATCGAACTGAAGTGTAAAATAAAAAGTTTCAGATACGTGTTATGATGCAAGTCAATGTCGGGGTCATGATTATTATCTAACAGATAGACACCTGTGTCCACTAGAAAAATAAAAAAGAAATTCAGTATAAAATTTTAAAACGAGGGGAGCAATAGACATGATGCTATTAGACAATAATGATGTAATTGAGGCTTAAGATCCGGACAACACAAGTTGTTGAGATGAAATAGCTCTCTGTAATAAGTCTTGTTTTCAAATCCTTTACGACCCTCCATATCTATCGATATTCAGACCTCAATTTGCGATGGGTTTGAACAAATTTCAATTTTATGCGTTAACTTTGATTTTGAAAAGATAAGTAAGTGATCACCGATGTCAAATTCATCTATGAATCTCTCCTAACAACACCAAACCGAGTTTCCGAAATGAATACATATATTAACAACAAATGACATTAACCTAATCTTTAAA